GTAGTTGAGGCTGGGATTGGGTAGGTGCAGATATCGCAGTTGGTTGAGAATGAAAGAATTTTGAAGCTCTCCATCTCGGATGAGGTGGGGAGGGTATTTGATTCAGCCGGCGCCGGTGTAGTGGACGATGCTGATGGAGGCGGACTATGGATAATGCGCCGAATGGGTAACAGGGAATGGGTGCAGCCTCGTCCTTTGTTGACGCAGGAGTTACAGAAACCCCAGTCTCCCTCGTTGCACTGGTTGCATTTCCAAAAACAATCGTTGGCCGACGATTGACACGTATCACAGAAGAGACCGCTTTGTAGCCGGCGGACTGGGTTATCGCTGGTCATTTGTCTTTCTCCGCTCATCGTTCGATGGGCAGTCTCGGAGGGCCGTTGGTATTTGAACCACATCAAGACATGACCAGGGTCATTAATTTGTACAGGGCGTCGAGTGGATGATGATACGATTCGCTGAAAGGTCGTGTGCGCGGATGCACCAAATCCGCTCCATCGATGACAGCCACTTCCCGAGCGGTAGCATCGTAGACACAGGTGGAAGTTCCCTTCCTTGCAACTTGTGCATCTCTTGTGTAGAGTATATTGGATGTTGCCCTTTCCGCAACGGTCACAGGAGATGGACGGCTCGGGGAATTGTACAGTGGGAGATGAAGGAACATTGGATCGGGACGAAGATGGTCTTGTTCGTCTGTCTGACCGGATTGGAACAAGCGGCGAGGATAATGAAGGAACGGTGTGGTCCGGGTGAGACAGATGGCGGGAGGAACTTGAGGGCGCAGCGCCAGAAATGGGGGAGTTCGTGGCTGATTGACTCGTGGCCTGTCTAGAGCTTCGTTCCCGTCCTCCGGCCCCCCACACGCTAGAGATACTCCGTTCTGACTCTGTGGCACGTCGTGGCCTGGCTGATGCTGATTCTGATCGTAAGCGCCCAGCCTGAGAGACGTGGCGATCCGCGGTTATATCACTCGAAGATCGGGCAGCAGGCCTTATAGCTTCATCTGATGCAGATGCTTGATTCGTTCGCACGGGCGAGGTCCTTCGGCGCCCACTTACTTGTTCCGAGCTGCGTCTTTGGTGACCCGCGGTGCTCGGTCGCGCGGGAGCCGAATCGAACAGATGCGGTCTCGAAACTGGCGGTCGTCTAACATTGTGTTCTCGAGCTGCCGTTAGGTCCGCAGTCCTGTGGGCGGACTCGGACCTTGCATGTGTTCGCGTAGCTCCGTCAGCCTCTTGCCGCTGTTCTCGTCCCTGTTCTTGTCGCTGACGAGACTGCGATCTTTGCATATGCCTCCGACGGTACGCATCCGCGATGCGTTCACTGAGTTCCTCTTCTTGCCTTGGCCCAAGATTATCAAGGTTGATGTTATCCAGTAATCCGTCCTCGAGAATTTGCCGCAATATCTCTTCCTCCATAGTCTCCGCATCAGATGACAAGCTCAGTAATGACCGCAGACTAGATTGATGCTCGACCCGCCGCGTGCGGTCGGAATCATCGGGCCGTAATGTACGATGCTGTCGCATTGCATCGTCATCTCTCCGACGCCTTGACCGACCGTCCTCCGCAGGTCTCTCGGTATTGGTGCTCCTTTCGCGCGTCCGCGAAGATTGGCCTGTCCTTCGGGTCTCACGCCTAGCTTGTGTCCGGCTTTCGCGTAGACTCAGCTCGCGTACCTCCTCTATAACGCGCCTATCATCCTCGCCATCCTCATCCGCACTTTCCCCACCCGAAGGAAGTGTTGGGAATACTGACTCCCCGTGTGTGTACCTAGTCGCAATTTCTGCCTTTTCATCTGTCGCTCTGGCACGATCTGGGTGTGCGGTCAGGACCATGTCCAGCAGGGTCGTCACGGTGGCATTTGGGCGGGTATCGCGTACTTCCGCGCGACAGGATGGGCAGGTAAATCGAGGCGAGTCGCGGGAGTGCCGTGCCCCTTGTGCGGAGAACCATTCTTTCACGCAGGATCCGCAGAAAGTGTGGAGGCAGTCGAGGAGAGTGAGGGGCTGGTAGAGGAGCTCGGTACAAATCTGGGGGAAAACAGCGGTGTTAGAAATGTAAGGGGTGGAATGGACAAGTACATACCGAGCATACCAGCTCTTTCTCAAGGTCCGCCAATCCGGAACTTTGAACTTGAGACATGAACAGGTTTTGGAGAAGTTCCCGCAGGAGTAAACAGAGAGAGGGTAAAGACCACGGATCGTTAATGTGGGAGAAGTTGGCTCCACCAATGGGCCCCGAGGGTGATCTCCCGCTTACTGGGCTTCACCTTCTTCACTTCAACTTTCAACACTTCAACTTCAACCTCACCTCTTTCGGGCTTGGAATGTGGGCTGCCTAAAAAGAATTTTGTCTCACACACTGTCGGAGAGTGGTTTTCGACACCGGGTAGACTTCTGCACCCCCCGATGAAACTTGATGAAAAGCGTTGAACATAGCAATATGGGAAGATGAAGAAGGAAGATGAAGATGGAAGACGGTAGATGGTTTGCATCATTAGATCTTCTTTGGAAGGTTGCTAGCCTTAGGCGGAAAATAGGCCCAGCTGAGGTTTCAACAGGATACATATATATATCTAAACATAACCACCGTGCAATTTCTTTGAAGATTCCCTGTTTAAATTTCAAGTTGAAATAATCTGTCATAGTAGAGCCACCAGAACGAAAGAATATCAGTAAGCACATCACCTTGCTGCATAACAATAGACACAAGTAATTGACCACCAGCAAGGACACTGAGTTTGCTCCATATTTAGTCTCGAACATCAAGTTCCAAAATATGATCATTCGGCTGCGAGATCTCACATAAAAGGAAGTATATAGGGCAGTGTATATGCCAGACAAAGGCATTTTGTCATTTTGTCAAAGAAACCCAGCCAAAATAACTCCCTATGCCATTTTCCTCCAGCATACAAAAGACCAAGTGGTCAATGGAATGATATTCAAACCCACCTGATACCGGTCTCTTCAAATTCACAAGCATGTTCTAAATCAGACTATAGGGATCTGTTCTATTTTTCGCCATCACCCTGAAAAGCCCACTTATTCGCCAACGCAGTGGCGGGAAAGATGCAGGACACGTCCCTCAACGCCATAGAAGCACGACACGCACGGTCGGTCCATGAGCAGAGGCAGAGGTACCTTCCACTGGCAATGCGATCCAAGTCCGAGCACCCGCCCCTTAGCAGACCAGACCGGCCGAGAAGAAAGAGTTTCAGTTGAATTTTAGTATAGTCCTTGTCCGCCACCCAAGGTGGGATAGTGGAGGGATGATGATCCCAAGAGGGGGAAAAAAGAGGCGTATAAGGAGAAAAGCCTTTATAGACCTTGCCTCTCATGTGGTGGACGTAGGGGGTAGTTTCCATCATTCCCATGGGTTGGTCTAGCTACCACGGGTAGCGGTGAGGAGGTGGCTGCGAGAGAGCGAAGAATTGACTTTGAAATGCCATTTCCTCGGAGTCTGAGCACAAGATTGTGAGGCCAGAACTTCGGAACTAGACAATCAGCCATTATGAGCGTCATGTGAGTGAAGAGCGGAACTTTATGTTTCTCTGTATCTCCTGTGTTTCGATGTGCATACGCCATCGCGTGGGAAATAGACGCTGATGCTGTCTGTCCTCACGGATCTCTCGGTGCGAGATGCATGTTGTGATCATCTGCGTGAGCATGACAGTCGAAATGTGGGGAAAATCCGTGTCAAGGGAGCTCGGCTTGTAGCGCCCGGTCACTGGCTCCCGCTGTGGATCGAGGATATGGGAGAGTATAGCTTCGGGGACCTTGGATGATAGAAACAGCAGAGGGTGTATTCGTCAGCCACTGTTATCAGTTGAGGGGCTTGGTTTGCTGTCCTTGTCTTAAGATACTATGTGCATTGTCAGCTGCTTGCTGCCTGGAATGCACAAAATGCACCTCGGAAGACTCCCAGATGTGGTGATAATCTCGCTCGGACAGTGTGAGGTGGCAGATGCACCCCGCAATGGAGGGGGCGCAGGCTACAAGCCAAAGTACTCATCTCCGCAGATAGGGATATCCGATGAATCCGAGAACATTGTTTACCTTGTCCCTCTATATTCAGGAGCCTGCAATATGATAAAGTAAATTTCAGTTTAGTTTGGAGAATGGTGGGGTTACGCCTATATCTTGCCTAGGTACCTAGGTAGACATGATAATCCAAAAAAAAAGACTACAGTGAGGTCGATAGATATGTTCGAAGAGTTTTATCTTTTGGATATCTGTTATCCTTTTAGAGGGATGGAAATAATTGACCTATAAAATTCCCATACATAATATTTGATAGCAAATAAGAAGGGGTAAATGATCACCGTAGCAGCGATCATTATTACTCACCCCAGACCCTCCTGAGGTCAACCCCACAGATGAGGGACGAGCTCAAGGATTCTCCTGTCCCGCGTATCTCTGGCATCAAAACATTTGAACTTCAATATATCTCAATGGCCGGATACAGAGGGCCGAGCTCCCGAATTACAGGGGTTTGATAGGCGTCAATTCAATGTTCTCGTATCAAAAATTGGCGTTCTATTATGCTGACAACGGACAACGCCTCTCCCGCTAGGCGTGGCAGGATAATGGGACAGAAACAACCAATCCTCTAACTCGGACATATTATGGCGGTTCTAGATAGCCGAGTGCTATTTTTCCTATTTGTGGCTGGGCTTTTAGGTAATCTATCACCCGTCGATACATCCAGCTTCCACGATTGCCGTTTATAGTGGCGATAGAAATAGTGGAGTCGCCATAAAGAACGACAACTTAGCCGAGAGCAATATCAATTGAAGATTTCCGCGGGAGATTCCATTAACCCCTCAAATCCCAATTTGATGGATGAATTGACAATCAACCCCGGTGTCTGTAACTTGCAAATGTGGAGATAAAACCCCGACTTCGGGGTACACCTGCAAGTTGCACATCATCTTCCCCAGAGCAAACAAAAACTATACTATCAATGCAGGCTTGTAAGCGTAAAATATAAAAAAGTCAAACATGAAACCCCTGATAAACCCACATCCAACTGCCCAGAACAACAACCATGCACTGACCCCGTCATGCATAGCAAATTGTCAGTTCGCCGCACTAATGCAGCGCCTTATGCACGTCCGCACAGGCTTATCAAGCTATCCACGCCCCACTATCATCGCACCGTCGAGTCATAGCTCCGGGATCGAGCGCACTGACCACCGCGCCTCCGTTCTGGCCGGTGGTCGAACTTAGTGGGGGCGCTGTTTTGGCGCCCTTTCTCGCAATGCTATGCATAAGCGTGGGGCCCAAGGTATACTAGGTACATACCTACAATATATACTTACTTCGAGTGAGGCTACTAGTTTGTTGGTGGTATAGATGGCTTTCGGAAGTATACAATAAGTATACTTTTACTACCTATGGTGTTACTACTATTTTATGCACAACTAACGTTCAAAGGCCCGTGCTGGTCCTCAACTTAGTAACGCATCATGTATACCACCTAGGTGATGTATACCCAATCGACTAAAGCGGCTGTCCCTGATCGCCTACCCGTCTTCTTAGTGGTTGATTGATACCAAGACGTGTAGGGTGGTGCCACTTCCTCAGCATTTTTTTTCTTTCAGATACAACGTCCGGGATACAGATGCCCCTTGGGAACGTGTGTGGTCGACAGGGATATTATAAGGTCAGGTGGTGCTCGGTGCAGTGCATTGCAGAAGAAACGCGCCTAGGATTTGAGTGACGTGCGACATTGCATAGTTAGCACATATGCGTTGCTTGAGTACGATTTTCTTATTCTTGAGCTATCAGTAGGTGTTGCCCATCCAATCATCGTCGAGTTCTCTATCTTTACCATAAATTTGAATTGCCCATCGTTGAAACGGGTTGAAACGCCTATTTTGTGACACGTGAGTAATTGGAATGGTTGGCTGATCACAACGTTCTAATTGTTGTGTTAAGGTCGAATCGGAAGGTTAGATACACATCTCCATCCCAGTGTATGCTCGAGACGGTGAGGGTATCCGGACATATTCTATTTCTACAACTAACAGCGAACCGCCATATCTCATTGGCAGATCCAGAGCTGGTCATTGCCAACCCGACGCTAATCCCGGGGTATAGCTCGCGGGGTAAGAAACCTTGGGGGAACAGAACGCAAATCAGCATCACCCCCCGATGTCTGGGGTCCGCATCAACTCCGAGTTCGCAAAATTATGCACTGTGAACGCAAGAGCTGACGCCAGCTGTATCCACGCGGGGTAGCTAAAGCTCTCTAGGAAACGCGCTGCCCCTCTCTCATTTCACTGTCCTAGTTTCGTTAATGTATGCTATTCACGCTTCATTTCCTTTCGGTGGCTCTTGGCGAGCAACGACTGCAGCCTAGACAGGCCGCTGCCCAAAGCGGCCGCGTGTTTTATCACCAAGGTGAATCAGGGGAAGCTTATTCTTAGTTGTATCGGGTTGAATTGCGCGAGATGAGTCTCGGAACTGTGCGGCCGATGGAGAGCCCGGTCGATGGCCCAAGAGTCTGAGTTCAGCCACGCTAACGCCCTCGGGGCGAGTTGCAGTTTGGAATTGTCGCCAGCGAGACAAGGCGGATTTCAAGGAGCACATCACTCCGGTGAAAATGTGTCAATTTGTCAAGGGTCCAGGGTCAAATTGTAAATTGCAAATTGAAAGATGAGATCGCATCTGGGCGATCATTTCGTGAGTAGATTAGCAAAGGGCTTCCAAGCTCTCAATCGATGAGAAAGTAAAATCCTAAGGCTGAACTCTGTGATCTCAAGGTTCACACACGAACACTGTATACTTCTGATAGGTTCTGATCTGACCGCTTCGACGCTTCGACCTTATAACACTTGCTAGTATTTAAGAAGGGTGACACCTATACCCTGATTCGGGTTTCCCGTGAACCGGACAACCGATGGAGGGGCGTTCTCAGATTCGGCATCAAATTAAAAAAGCAAATAAAAACAAAAAGAAAGAAAGAAAAAGAGAAAAAAAAAAAAAAAAAGGCGCACGGAAGTTTCCAGGGTCTCGGCAAGAAGGGGCTAAACAGACGTTATCGCCCTGCAGCTCGGAATGTTTCGACCTTGCCGCTCACCGAGACGTTCATATTGGCAATTTGAGGATCCCATCGGAACTGTATCGGATCCGCCCGTAGGCGAGACTATCCATAACTCTCCAGTTCGTGAATACGCAACGTTTTGCGGGACCTCCAGATGTTCTGAAAATGAGGGGTTAGAAATCTGGAGATCAAACCACATAGCCCTGTGTAGATCGGAAGAGTTCGAGGCCCTCGAACGGTTGCGAGTCGAGACCCTGGACAAGTACCCACCATGCGACATGGGGCTTCAGGGTTTGACCAATCTCATTGCATTTTCGAGAAGATCATTCGCGATAACGCCATGTGAAAGCCACCTGTTTTGTTGGGTGCAATGAATAGAGTGGCAAAAAAAAGGAAAACTCTGCGCCGCTAATACAACAAAGGGGTTGGTGGTCCGGGCGTGGGCGTTTATACTACGTACACAGCTCGGGAAGGCTTAGTTGGAAATAACTGAAAAAAAGAATATATATATATATATATATATATATACATAAAAATATATAAAAAGATTAGAATAATCATTATAATAATCACTTGTATGACCGTTAATTAGTGAGACATGGCGATGAGAGTCGTGGACTGACCTCACGAGAGTTTCATAGCTATCGACTCTATGATCTTATCTATGCAATTTTTATTTTCAAGCTTAGCATGCTACTTCAACCTTTCCACTACGTATTGAATAGATTGGAAGAATGTTAGAAGAATACCAAGATTTAAAGATTTAAATAAATGAATGTGTACAAAAGATTCACTGATATGCTGCACGAGCGACCGGGGGTCCAGACCTCCCGCCAAGCGGACGAAAACCAAGGCATCGGGGACTATCAAATGCATCTTGACATCATGGACTTAATCTGCGTGGAATTACCACAACCCCCTATTTATATCGAACATATGATTTCGGATTTGAATTCGGACATTGGAATTTCCTCTGGAAACATTGATCGATTCGTGATTACTTGAGTTATTAGACTAATCCGATTGAAAAATATCTGAACCTGAATAAATCTCAGACCCATATATCTTCGTATCTCCATATCTCCATATCTCCATATCTCCAGACTCCAGACTCCAGACTCTATTTTCTACCGGCTTTTTGCGGTACCCTCGGTGGAGCCCTGGAGTGCATGTTAGTAGATCCACCAGATTTTCCGGAGTACACCACAAGTGCACTTACAATGAGACTACATATGTATCTTCAAATGCACCATGCACGTCACAGTGGGATTCTATACATAAACTGCCCACAATTGAAATTCTTGTTCTTTTGATATCTACCATGGCTATGTAGTTGTGTAGCGGGAAAGGAAACCCGCTGTCGTTCCACCGCAGATAACATGTTCCCGAGATCAAACTTGATTCGAGACCCAAGGTTCTTGGAAGTGTCAGAAAGTCTTGATAATAGTGTATGATTTAGTTCCAATTCTAGATGGGGGGGTGGATTTCTTTTCTATATTTCCTACCTGTTCTCATTTCTTATATCTCTAGCTATTTCCGTCTAGCCTTTACAATTGTAGTCCGACCGGAGAGTAGGACAACGCCAGAGTAACTTCAAATCCTTGGCAAAATAACCCCCACGATTTTAGGATTTCAGGATTTCAGATTCACATTGCTGGAACACGGTGTAGTCGAGGTGCACCGAAGGGGAGGGAGTGGATATTACGCTTCTAGCACTTGCATGGCGCAATGTATCCCTAGTTACCTGTGCGCGCCAAAAAAAAAAAAAAAAAAAAAAAAAGAAGAAAAGTTGAGTTTCTATCTGCCACAGGCTAGGAATATCTGGGACAAACCGGTTTTGGATGGGTCGATCCATAAATCTGGACCAATCCTTGGACCACGGGGTCTCGACAGCAGTTGATAAGGGAAGTTCAGAGGACTACACAATGTCAATGGTAACGGAAAGGTCAATGAATGATGAGGGGGACATATTTTTTTTGGGATTGATTTTGATGTTCTGGGGATGAGTGATACAAAATGATATTCGTCAGGTCAAAGATATAAAAAAATATAAAAAGAAAAAAACAGGGAACACAGGTTGAAGCAAAGTTAGTGTACATGGACCTCTCTTAGCGCCTGTGGGTGATGGAGGTCTGTATTCCGCTAATTGTGACACTAGGGGGAACGACCAGTGCATTATAGTGAGCTCGCAATTTTGTAGGATCGTCGTGCTCGTGCGAATAGACATGTCGGAGAATTCGAGTCAATGGGAGAGGCGGAAATAGGATATGGTGAGATATCAATCTAGATTCGAGGATGTCCACGGGTATATTTTGTAGATGTATCAACTGCAAACAGACAATTCACAATGGGATGTAGAATCGAGATATAGAAAGGAAGTAATAGAATCTAGTAAAAAGAAATACAAAAAAGAAAAGATAAAAAAGAGTAAAAAAGAACCAAAAAAACCAATCCCCCACCTATACGGGACGCATTGACCGTAGTATCGAAGCGGAGTCTATGCAAAGCAGACGCACCTGGTGAATTTTATCGGACGATTTTTGTCTTTATTTATCTTGTTCTTTTAGCATTTAATGATTTCCGATTTCTCTCAAAAAGCTATAATACCAGATTTTGATCTCTTTTTCTTGATGAATCTTTTCTTTACTTCGGTTTATCTTCTCTTAACGGTCAGAGCGGGAATGGCTGCTTGATTTGCCACTATAACTTTCAAGGTACCTTTAAATCACCTCTCTTCCTTTTATCGCGGCTGTGCCGGGAGCTTGCCAACTCTTTTTTTTTTTTTTTTTGTTAAACATTTCTTTTTTTACTACTTTGGGCTAATACCTCGCCACTCGATGTTCATAGTTCAAGGTATTGATAAGCTCTCTCCCCCATTCCCTGTGTTACCTGTGAAACATTGACTTTTTTTTCCACTGGCACCTTCCTCAAGTGTCACCCCACTCCCCTTTGGCCCTGATGAAATGGCATGTCTTCCCTCGCCTCTTGCCACTTGACCTTCTCATTGCCACAGTCCGGAATTTCATGAAGGCTTACTGACGGAGCTACTTTCAGGCACTTTACTGTGATTGAAACATTGGACATTATCCTTTTCCCTTCTTGTGTTGAGATACACAAGTCGGCCGGATGCCATACACTGCGCCGTTCAAGACGTTGCTCTCCGCGCAGCACATTGAATACTCCCGACCAACCGACGAGTCTTGCGAGCGGCCCGGTTTGGTTCGCTCCTCGTCGGAACGGGTTCAGAATTCCCGTTCATATTCCTCTACCTCATACACTCGGCGTCATCGGAGGAGTCCTTCGAACACCAAATCGACAGTGCATCCCGCTCCAGAATCACCGGCCCGGGCCCACCCATCCATCGATGCACATGCCAGTCTCCGTCAGTCCCCGCCGCCGATAAGCAATGCTATCATCCCTCCCGGGGCGGTAATATCGCCTCCTGAGTCCGGACCGAACTCAAGTGATGAAGAATCACCTCGGAGTGGCGAGGGTGTCAAGTTTGACGAGCTGGAGGCTGCCGTTCGATCAATCAGATTAAGGAAGGAGAGCTCACCGGAAAGAATGGATCCATCAGACCATCCAGAAACACAAACACCGGCTCGGCCCTCATCGACCGTGCCGTCCACCACTGACACAAAGCCCACTCGACCCAAGCTCACCCACCTACCATTGTCGAAAGAAGCTCGCAAGATCAGTCACTCTCGATCCTCGACTGAAACCGCCATCGATTTGGCTCGGGAAGAGGCGGTGACTAGCTCACCCGACGAAAGTGATGTGGATATGTCGTGCAAACCCCCAATGGTCCGTAAGAAGTCAGGTGAGCTTGTTCGGCCTGCTCTCCGCCCTTCTTCGTCACGGCGACGACCATCTAGCATGCCTGGTACTCCGGTATATTCTAAGGCGGTGCACTTCGACTCCCACTTGGAGCACATCCGTCACTTCCTCCAGCTGGACCGGCCATTGGCTGTCAGCACAGAAACATCACCAGTTGAAAACCACGACACCAAGGGCGAGTTTCCCTTTAGCTCTGCTGATTCGCGTGGTCCGTCGTGGGAATGGGAGATCAAGCTTGCCAATTGGCCTCAGGATACCTCATCGCGTATCTCTCGTCCGGTTCGCCTCGAGCGATTATTCTTGTCGGCTGATAAGAGTACTTTGATCGGCACTGTGGCCGTGGCTAACCTTGCTTTCCACAAGAATGTGACCGCTCGTTTCACACTGGATTACTGGAGGACTACCTCAGAAGTTTCCGCGACATACTGCCATGATGTTCGCCGCCAGCAAGCTGCTGATGGGTTCGATCGCTTTTCGTTTGACCTCAAGCTGAATGATCAAGCCAATTTGGAGACCAAGACCATGTTCATGTGCATCCGCTATAACGTGGAGGGACAGGAATATTGGGATAATAATGATTCAGTGAACTATCAGATTGATTTCCACAAAGTCCCCAAGACCTCCACGAGCAAGCCTCCAAATGGCGGATCTCGCCCTGCTCTTCCCCGCAGCCGATCCTTCACTAGCTCCCATATCATTCGACCGCAATCCATGCCGCCTAACTATGATTTCCCCGACCTCGGCGACAAGACGTCATTCACGAATCCTTTCAATGATGCAAACGGTGCGCCTTTGGCTCGCACGCCCTCGGATGAGATCGACACGGTTGCGCCGCCCAAACGCCGTGACAACTCCAACCGCCAGGCATTTGGAAACAGGTACGACTTCGGAGCGTCGCTGTCGGCTGCTATGCGGTCAAAGGCACCTCTGGATCGCACTGCTCTGACTGCCCGTGCGAGATCCGGGGAGACCGTTGTCCCGGATACCACCAAACCGACCAAGAAAATACCCAGTTTTGAACAGGGCCCTGGTTCTGCAGTGAGCGATAATTTCCGCACCGCAAATCGGGTGGGAGATCTAAAACCTTCCTCTTTGGTATCTAGCAAGCCACAGCTCGAATCTTCCGTCTACCAGGAGTTGGTCGATAAGTACTGCTTTGTAAGCCTTTCGACAGTAAATCATGTCATGGCAGTCAGCTGACCCGTTATAGTATGGGTCTCCGCAAGGATCGAACCTGAAGGCACACCCATCGATCTCGAGCGGTCGTGAAGGCGAGGCCTTAAAGCATGTCTCTACCCCAGCTTGCCCTTCGCCGCCGTTGTCTCCTCGGTCTCCTGCTCATCTCGCTGCTCCTGTGACCGAAGCACCGCGTGCTTCTGTTAGCCCGTGTGCCTCTCCACTACCCTCGACCTCCCCGCTGGCCTTTCCTTATTCTTTCCACGGCGGTTTCATGAATGACCCTCACTCTCCAACGGTTATTAGAGGGTGAGTAACATAGACTGTTCTATGGCAGCGTCCAACCTGACTATGGTCCTTTGAGTCGACCTTTTAAAATACACCGTTGACGGATTTCATGAAGGGGATTTGGTAGTCATTGCGTGGAACTGGACAGATCCATTAGCCCAATGTCGACCCCTTTCATCCCACAATCTATCGGCGCACTCTGATGGATGGACTTTTTCTTTCTTCTTTTGACCCCTTCCCAGCATTACCTGCTTTATCCCCCAGTGGTTTCGACCAGCAGCACATGCGAGCGATTGCCTCTGCGATGCATAATAAACCGCGGACGTTTCGTTGAACCATTCGCTGTCTCGCTCGTTTCCACCAGTCGTCATCCCAATTATCGATCGACGCGACCGTCTCAGCTTTTTCCTAGAGCGGTCATTATCATGATTTCTTTGTTTACCTCTGCGTGCCGCTTTGGCCATGCATGATGACGCTACGATTTCTCTTCCGAGGCACTTTTCAATTCTTTGCTGTTCTTTCCTGGATGGCCCTTTCTTTTCAACGCAAAAAGCTTTTAGTATGCCCGCCTCCGCCCTTGATCTCGCACCTTTATGTTCGTTTGTTTTCATTTTCTTTTCATTGCATGGTGTTCTGGCGTTTTCTCTTTCCTGCTTTTTTTTTCCTGCTTGTTATTACTGTTTCGGTTCCACAATACGGTCTACATCTCCGACTGGACGTGGAAAGGGGCCGCGAAGATGTGAGGATTCGAAGATAGCGATACATGACTGCGTCTTATATAGGCAACGCGACGTAGTTTTGAAATGACACGAGACATGATGAACGCCATCGACTGGATCTTTATTTTACACAGTTTATTAGGATAGCTTCTAGTCAATAGTCAATGAATTACCCCACTACTCACACAAAATGCTAGCCACGTGTTGAAAAGCTAAGGAGTAGATAATATGAAGCTCACGAGTGGTGGAGTCCTGAGGTATACTTCCCGATTAGGCTAGCGGAATCCCTATCTTATCACCACGTGACCAGTATCATTGTTGCTCGACGCAAGAAAATGCGGGTTCGCCGATGCCTGGTAGACACGCTGGAAACCGACCCTTCATAACGCCCTTTTTCTTTTCCCGCCGCCCGCCAATCACCACCGCATTGCAGAATGATGAATAAATCTCTCGCTTACCTAAAATACTTACTTCCCGGATCACGCGTAGTCGGCTTGCCTATTTAAACTACCTTCCCCCTCCATTTAGTCATTTTCCTATTTTTCCCCCCTCTCTTATTCTCAACGCCAACCATCAAAGCGCGGCGTTTTTCATCGTTTTACCAACAACACAGACGTCGATCCATCTACATTTTTAATACTTTCAATTCTTCATATTTGAAACTATGTCTGGACGTAAGTATCAATGTCTTTTTGTGTGTTATTGTTGCTATATACCCCTCGTCTATTTGTTGTCGGCGTGGTGAAGTTCCTAAAATAAGAACTGGTGATGCCCCTGTCAGCACGTGATTCATGCCTCAGGCATGAACTGCGTCCCACCTTTCCCAATTAGGAAAGGCCGTTCACCTTTGCGCATCTTAACACAACCTCCAACCACCCTCAACTCCCCATACTCCCCTCCTATTCACACTGTCTTATATTCTACCCCGCATCTCAAACTATACTACCCTCACACAATTCCTCGAACAAAAACTAACAAATCAAAACAGGCGGCAAAGGCGGAAAAGGTCTCGGCAAAGGCGGCGCCAAGCGCCACCGCAAGATCTTGCGTGACAACATCCAGGGAATCACCAAGCCCGCTATCCGCCGTCTCGCCCGTCGTGGCGGTGTCAAGCGTATCTCCGCGATGATCTACGAGGAGACCCGCGGTGTGCTCAAGTCCTTCCTTGAGTCCGTCATCCGTGACGCCGTCACCTACACCGAGCACGCTAAGCGTAAGACCGTCACCTCCCTCGACGTCGTCTACGCCCTTAAGCGCCAGGGCCGTACCCTCTACGGTTTCGGTGGTTAGATTTGTCTTGCGACTTTCATCGTCTTAAGCGACTTTGCCACTCTCTGTGTGTGAGGTGGCGGTCGGAGGCTTTTCTTACTTAATGTGCTACGGTGTGATGGGTGTCTTTTTTTTGCGTCAAATGGTTATGGGGTTTAGGGAATTTATTCGGGTTTGCTCTTTTATCCTCCGTGGTTGGGAATTTGATTTCCGTGCTTGGTGGACGATGTGTCCTTCAATAGTTAACCAGTGGCCGATAGACTCTCGGGTTGGCTCTTATGGAGTTCAATACAACGTTTGCTATCAGTTATATGTGTTTATTTACGTAGTTTTGTATCTTGTATCCTACCAATTGTATACTTGGCTATGTATGCTGTCTTGAATGAATGACATCAGCTAATGGCAATACATGGATCGAAGGCGGTCGGTGAACGGGAAGGCGCATATAACCGTGCGCCTTCCCGTAACAGCGTCCTCCGGTAACAGCGCCCTTCCGTAACAGCGGAGAAACCTCCGCAACTCCATTCCTTTCAGCCTAGAGCTCCCTATATTCTATAAGATACTCCATTTCCCCTTCTTCTTTACAAACTCAACTCAAGCTCTTATGTGGAATGTCTGTTAGCATCCCAATCATTAGAAGTATGTCTTCATCTACGGTAAAAGCAAGATTTTTCTGCCCCCATGAGACTGCCCATCATGCTGCGACCATCCTCGGATTCCCATCCAAAGTCTCCATCGCCTCAGCCTACTACGAAAGCGCATGTGTCGATATCGCGAGTTTGGCCTCTGTAATTTCCGTCCATGAACCAGTTCGACTATATGCACGACCGGAAGATGTCCAGAAAGCAAAGTCAATGGTCAGCCAAGCTATTACAAAATATCCGAGCAACACCGCGAACATTTCGGTCATCCCATTCCTCACAAATCACCTTTGGGTCCGCGATACGGGACCCGTCTATGTACGCGGCGTTGGCGAATCCATCCACCAACGTTTTGCAATCAACTTCCGTTTCTGTGAATGGGGAAGAAAAAATGACATCGGCGACCACGACCGCGCTTCGGATGGGCTTGATTGGCCTGTGATGACGTCTGAACAGATCGAAGAAAATGGTACTTTTGCCCGCAGGGTTATCGAATATGATGTTCTCCCGTCTCCGGTGACTCTAGTGGAATCACAGGTCCGTCTAGAAGGCGGTGCACTAGCTGTGGATGGCGAAGGGACACTTCTCGCCACTGAAAGTAGTATCGTCAACGAAAATCGCAACCCGGGTCTTTCGAAGGCAGCGATTGAGACAGAGCTCTATCGTCTGTTGGGTGTTGAGAAAATTATTTGGTTCCCCGGCAGAAAGAATCTAGATGTTACTGATGTGCATATTGACGCTGAAGTCAACTTTGTCCGGCCCGGAGTTGTTGTCCTCTCGCGACCCCATTCTAGTGTGCCTAAGGCATGGATGGAGGTTTATGAGGAGATCCGAGACATTCTGGGGAAGTCGGTCGATGCGAAGGGTCGTCCTTTCGAGGTACACATAGTAGATGAGCCGAACCCCAAAATCTTCGGGGTCTTGTCATACGATGAACCGGCGACTAACTATGTGAATTTTTATTTCGTCAATGGGGGGCTTATTCTTCCTCAATTCGGCGATAGTCGGCGAGATCAAGAGGCCTTGGTGCTGTTTCAGAAGCTGTGCCCTGATCGCGTGGTTCAGCCAGTGTTTTTGTCTGCGCTTCCATTGGCTGGAGGTGTGATTCACTGCGCAACTCAGCCAGTACTTTCTGTGGATGAATGAATGTCGATAGATATTTTGAAATAATGAGATAATATCAAGATATATGAACACACTGGGTGGATGTTAAATAAGATAGATAGTACCTAGGTAGATCAACCCAAAGAGGAAATTCAATACGCGGATCCACCGGCTATGGGGAAATCGTGGAGAGAGCGGGGAAATCGGCCGATCTCACCGGGTCACCTCGCTGCATTCATAAACATCTCCAACATCTTAATCTTCAAAAAGCCGAGACTGCACCAGACTACCCCCTCGTTATATGTTCTTGATTCTACTCGCCCATTCGCGCTAACATTATGGCGAAGGCTTGCGACCACTGGGACTTGAATAAAGAGAAAGAGAGCGGTACTGCAAGTGCTAGTCCGACATGCATCAGATGTAATCATATGAAAATTGGCTCCACTGCTCGTCGCACTAAGCGCGTGAGACACCTCTCTTCTGCCGAAGTCTTTCCGCATGGGAATTTGCGGGTTTCCACCATGGTGTCGCGACATCGTGCCCAGTCCAAGGAAAGCGAGAGCCATGTCTCATCCTCCTCGTCTAGTCTACGCTCATATTCAAGCTCACCTCCCGGAAATAACGAAGCTTGGACGCCGGAAAGTACCGAGGTCATGATATTATCACCAGAGAAATTACTCGCCGCCCCCACCGACTTCCAAACGACATCAGATGCATTGCGCACCGTTATGAATCTGGAACAATTCTCCGCCATACATTCACCATTCGCATTTGGAGATAGTTTCTTCCCAACATCCCAAAAGACCATTTATGTTATTTTGCAACTATCCGCCCCGATCCTGACCGAAGGATACCTGGCCTTTCTAGGCCTGATGACAAATTACCAAAAGTCCCCTGTTATACGCCGAAGCGAGCCCGATATACTCAAGGCTGCGAAAGGACTGCAATGTCTGAGAAGTGTGAAAATCTCACACGACTACGACGCAGCCTGCGCTCTCTTCCTGGGCCAGACTATGTACGTGTTCAACGTACTCACGACACCACACTCCAGCACAGCCCACGCTATCGTTCGGAGCGCCCTCATCTCAGCCAAACCATGGCTTCCCAGATTGGTGCAAGCCCCTATCATGGACACAATAACCATGACGCCGATTCTAGTCGACACCGTCGAGTGTCTGGTGCACCGTGAGATCCCTATAATACGACTCGATCCTCAGCCTCGCGTCCTCGTCGATCGCTATCTTGGTCTCTGTGCCACACTTCTCCCTCATCTCTACGATATCTGCGTGTGCAGCAATACCTTGAAGAGGGAAGGTCCTGCTGTCGGATCTGAATTACACTCAGTTATGCACGACCAACTGGATGAAATAGAAGAGAAGATCCGACGCTGGCGACCTCAAACCCCTTCCGGACTATTCGATAGTTACGGCCAGCATGCAGTTCTTGCAATGGTGACACACGCAAATGTGTATCGTCTAGCTGCGTTATTGATCCTCCACCGGCTGCGATATCCGCTCGGAATTGAGGACGGCGCAGCATGGAAACTTGCAAATGGGATATTTTCTGAATTGTCGTTCTTTGCCAAATCGGCTCTCAATGGTAATGAAGTTACTGCGTTCCCAGTGGTGTTTCCTTTGGCGATGGCCATGTTTGAGATACATGGACCCGGAGAAGATTTGGTAGAACGCTTGGCGTCGTTTACAATCCAAGGTGTGTGTTTAGCTCGGCTTCAAGAGTTTGTGAAGTTGGCTAGGGCGACGAGGGAGTCGGGATATGAGGGCATTTGGTTTGATTTGGTTGATACGAATCTTCGTGTTGCGGTGCCACCATAACGCTGAATCAGTCTCCGTAACAATGCTTTTTATGTATAGTATTTATTTCAGGGTGGTGAGATGGCGCGGTGTTATGATCTTGCCAGCTTGTCCGTTCTCCCATTGAACAATCATTATTATATATCCGAACATGAGGGTTTAGCCAGTAATTCCAAGACATGCTCCTTTCTTCTACCTTGAATATTTTAACACAGGGCTATCTAATAGTTGTCGTGGCAAGCTTGAAAGCCTCCCCGAACCAAATTCCTCAATTAGCTACCTTAAAATCCCTTCATGCTGAAAACCAAGCCTTCATTACTTAGATGCCTCAGCGGGAGAAGGGGGAACGTAATCTGATTAATCGGACGCTATTCCCCTCAAAGCCTCCCACTCATGCTCTAACATAGACAAATTGACAATATCATGCCAAGCACGGCGATGGTACAACGCCTCACGACTGCGACCTTCCTCCACAAATCCAAGTTTCCTGTAAAGCTTCAATGCGTTCGGGTTGTACGAAAAAGTGCTTATAGAGACTCTGTGCAGTCCAGCATGTTGAAAAGCCCAGTCCAGCGCCCAGTTGATAGCTTCTCCGCCGTATCCCTTTCCCCGGAACCCGTCCGCAAGTGAGATTCCTATCATTGCATTGCGATGATGAGTGTCGTTTGGTCCAGTCAGGCTGAAAAGGCTCATGTGACCAATTGGGACTGGCTTGGAATTTTGAGCAGGTCGATCCGAGTTTTGGGTCTCAGTCGAGGAGGAGGCCGTTTCTGTTTCGGGGGGATTCTGAGGAGGGAGACAGATAACCACTCCTAGAATGGCGTCTTGAAGTAGTTTTATAAACTCCCCTGCGGAATTTTTGTGAGACGGGCGCGGGAGACGTCCCGTGCTCAGGGTTTGAATTATAGGTTCGTTCATAAGACCGTGGAAGAATGCAATGTCTTCTTCGGAGTTCTCTGGGGCTCGGTAGATGAGCCGGCTGGACTTGGAAAGGTCCCCGAGGGCTTGGGTTGATGCCATATTGGAAATACCAAGTCTGTCCAATTTCTGTCCGATTTATGGGGGATCTCTGGGGAATTGTCGATAGCTTTATAGAAACGTCTATGGATGAGCGGGAAATATCCCACTTGGTTCTAACCAGTTAGCTTCCAATACTGAGGCCGGGATAAGCACTATTAGCCTTCAAATTTGAAGCTAACCCCTAGAGGGTAATCTCGGGGTCCCGATTAGGTCGGAATGTCCTGTGACTATAAATTGGTGAAGTATGTTGTATATATTACCTTATTGTCTTTCCTCTTCTCCTCTTTTCTTTTCTCTGTCCGCTATTATATAGGGAGAAATACCCTCTTTATAATATGCTCTATCGGTGATGAATATATATCATATCCTATAAATTTATTCTAAGAATCAGATTAAGGATATTAATAACCTTACCTACTCGGTAGAAGATAATAGTAGATATATATCTATCCCTAGGCTGCGCCAAAACCCACAAAACCCAAAATCCAACCCAATCCAACCCAACCTAACCCACTGTTGGGTTAGGTTTTCGTTATATATTCTAACGTTATAATGACTATTAAGAAAGGATTAAAAATTAAGAATTTAGAAAAGATTACGAAAAATTTAAGAAAAAAAGAATGCAACGACGGCTGCATGATTCGAACATGCGCCCGCGAACGGAATTGATTTCTAGCTGTTGGAATTGTTAGTGAATGTTTTGGTGGGTTTGTTTTGGAGAGAAACGTACTCAATCGCCTTAGACCACTCGGCCAAACCGCCATTTGATGAAGATTGTGGTCTATAATGCACCCTACGAACCAGAAGTCCGTTGATACCGAAGATCATGTCGAGTATTGGTATGCCCGTACATATCATCGAACAGGCCAAAACGGGTCCGAGACATTCCAAGGTTGTGCTGGTTATATCTGACAAAGCAGGATTTAAATAGAACGATGAGTCCAATTCTTCTGTTGAATGGCCTCCTAGCACAATGTATTTCAAGCGCGGTTATGTACTTCATTAACAAGACAAGAAACCGATCGTAAAATAAATGCTTAAATATGTAAACGCCACAGTATGTATTAGCCCTGCAATCAATCGTGATGTGGCCCACGATCCTTCTCCCAAAACCAATGATAAAGGCTCTTCCACTCGGCTGCTTCATCCTCAACATAATCACCGACCAGCTCAGCCGTCTCATTGAGTTCATCAGAAGCTGACGAAGCGGGGACCTTCAGACCCGAAGAGGCATCAATTCCTGTACGCGCACTTCCAGCAGCATCAGCAGCGCCTGCGAACTTTGATGTCATATCAACGGCGTTACCGCTAGAATTAGCGCTCAGCAGCCCCTCGGCTCCATCCCTTGTTCTCTCCGCTAGATCCCGAGCTCCTTCACGTGCGATCTCTGTATACTCCTCTGCCTGTTCACGGGCACGCTGGATAAGTTCGTCGGGCGAGGGATATCGACGTGCTAACAGGAGAAGGAGGTAGTAGCTCTTGACTATAAAAGCGTACACTGCGTCTTTTGCGAGCATTGTAAAGCCGTGCGAGAAGAACCCTTTTAGTACTTCGCCATGAAGGCCGGCGTAGAGTCCTGGTATACCCTCTGTGCGGGCGATGGTGGCAACTGTGGAAAGAATCTCGGGAGTGAGAGAGGCGAGAAGGGAGGTCTTAGTCTTATATGCAGTCCCAGACTTGGACTTAGAGTCCGAGCTCATTACCTGAGCTCTGGTTTTTGCAAGGGAGAATGGGTATGTGATTGACGAGGCAGCGACCTTGCTTAGAGCTGCTAAGAGGAACGTCAAAGCCGGAGGGGGCTTGTCGCGCTTCGAGCGTGGGAGAAGTGTCCGTTTGAGGAACTCATTTAGGAAGAACGTGAGAGATGGATTCAGAGTGAGTATCAGGGTGGCCGAGTATCCAGACCAAAAGCCTAGTATACCCTTCTCAGCGCGGATGCGACCTGCAATGTCACTTGTTGACAAGTTCCTCGCATTTCCACCCTTGCGTGCTGCGGATGTCTGCTTGCGCGCGACGACATTCGATAGTGGCGTGGTGAATAGCTTGGCAAACGAGCCAGCTAAAACACCAACGGCAAGTTCGTCGAGTATTGGTAAGACAATATTTTTGCTCTTGGCGGCTCGCTCTACACCTACATGGGCGACTATCCTCTTCTGGCGGATGGCACTATATGCAAGGAAGAAAAGGAACGAATCTGCGACAGTCTTCCAGGTATCCTGCGCTAGACCGGGATAGAAGCCGGCGATGCCTTGCTGCGCATATATCTTGCGGGCAGCATCCACCACACTGGTATATACTTCGTCTGGATTCGCGTCGTCGTCGGATTTCTTGCTCGAGTCGCTGTCTTTCTGTTTCTGAGTCTGAGTCTGCAGACGAGCGACGATGACATTGAGCGGGTAGACGACCACATTGGAGATGGCTGCGCCCACTGCACCAGCAGTTGCATTCCCTAGGGCTGGGAGGGCTGGGCCACGGAGGGCAGCAGATTTCCAGTCCCGCGGGTCGTGGGCTTCGTAGCGGTAGGAGGGGTGGTAGACATCCTTAATTGCGGGAGCATGTTATTATGGTCCAGTGTATTGTGGGAATGCGGATGGGGATGTGTAAGGAAACAGGAACCAAATGGTCTTCAGGAGGACACACCAGTTGAGACTCGTAGGATAGCTTGAATTCAGCCATGGCTCTGCTCGTTGGGAAATTTGGTGTTATGATCCGGATCAGACCCCTCAACCTCTGGTGTCCGTTCCAGGCAGAATATTCATGAGTAAGATATTTCAAAGACGGTTTGAAATGATGAGACTTACAGAGATAATAGAAAGATTCTCAATCAACTACGAGCGTGATCTCCTTTGATCAAAAGGCCGAGGTCCACTGGGGTCATGTGGATTACGTCATGTAGATCATGTGGTCTGTGCACTTGAATTTCTACATAAAACAACATCGATGTGTACTGTACTCATACACAGTCACTGTACTCATACACACAGTTGGGAAGTGATCCCCCATCACAATACAAGTATCCTTCTCCCCCTGGGAATAATCCTTAGTAAAACATCCAGCGGAAATGCGAGTCCGCTCGTTGAGTAAAAGGATGTGCCCACTGGATCTCGCCGTCAAACCCCCAGTCAATCTTCTTTTCCGGGCATGTTCCTTTTGCCTTACCGGTAACCCAAGATCTGATGTAATCGGCGGAATTTTCAATCGTCGTTAACTTCACTCCAACCTGGTTTGTGGCCTTGGAGAGCGCCTCAAACACAAACGCGCCTCTGTCCTCAAAAGGGGCCTCTATAATGATCTCATTGAGGCGTTTCAATGGGCATTCCGACAAAATGGGCATTGTACGGGTCCGGAGAATTTCGCACAACTTATCACTCATGAGGATAAACTCGAGATCATCGTGAATTTGGAAGATGTGCAGCTCCTCAAGTGATTTGGGTAGCAGGTGGTACAAAGGCTTTGCACTGTTGTACACCCCGTCCTCGTCATATAACGACCGGTAACGGCCTTTAAAACGTGCCATTTTCTCCTTAGTCTGGACAAGATAGCCGGCGGATAGTCGGAGTCTCTTCAAATGAACAAGCCTCGAGAGGTCGAGAGGCTGAAGATACAATTCCTCTTTTATCCTTCGGTCACATCGATTGAATGATAGTTCAAGGCATGTCAGGGTCTTCGATGTGTGTTGAAGCGCGTGGGTCATCTCGGAGGCCTTCATGCTCCGACCCGCCCATCTTGTCCACCCGCGTTCGTAGATGAAGGTTTGCAACTTGTGGGTCTGCTTGAAGAGCCTTTCAAGGCTCTGACAGTCGAAGGTACACTCGCGAAGTTCGAGGTGAACGAGGCGATCGGTATTGACAAATCCAGGTCTCAACCACCGTACTGCGTTGGTCCATTTGGTGCCGAATACATGGGTTAAAGTGGGAATTTGAAGAAGCACCATTAGCCAATCAATGTCAGCCGAGGGCACGTCCCCCTTGATTTCCGCCTTCAGGTGAGTGAGTTTGGATAGTATAGGCGTAGAAAAGGCTAGAATGCTATTTCCATCGGTGTGTATCGGGCGTGCACCGGCGATACCCATCAGGACACGTTCAACCAGGTTCCAAGTTGAGACTTGAGGATTGGTATATGGGCTCACATGCTCCATTGAGATCTCGAGACGTTGTAGGGAAGGCAGGTAACCCAGAAGAACGGCCAGTAACGCATCAGACCGGGGTACCTCGGGCTCAAGTGCTCTGCGCAATACCACCTTCAGGGCTAGATATAATGGTAAATTCATACCAGCAGTCATGATCATCCCATGGTCTCGTGGATGGAGCCGTTGAAGACCAAGTTCTCTTCTCCCCGGTTGAATGCGACTCTGTCTGTCTTCGTGGCAGAGGTCGTGCAGATCAGTCAAATCCAGAGATTTCACAAGTCGCGCAATGTCGTGGTTGCGGAGGATCGTAAGAAGAAAGCGTTCAATCTGAACATTTGGTATAAAAGGATGAAAACGTGTAATTAATTGTTGAAGAGGAAAATTAACTTACCGAACGACGATCTGCGGGAAATCTAAATCTAGGCCAAGGTCGATAGTGACGGGGAGCTCCCAAAGATACATTGCCGTACAGTGTAGGCATCGCCATGTGATATAGCTCCCTGTTGCAGGCAGCCACACGGCTCAGTGTGAAGGAGTCAAGATCAAGCTGCTTAATGATAAGGAGCTTAATTTCTGCTGGGAGGGATTGGAAATCCGTCTTCGGGGTAGGAGGACGTGGATAAATGAGAGGAATAAAAACCATGGGCAAAAAGAAAGCCATGGTGGTGAAATCCGATTTCTAACTCTGGGTGGTGGATGAAGAGAAAGGATGAAGAGAAGAGGAAAAAAGAAGAGAAAGGATGGAGAGAAGAGAGAGGATGAAGGCGAGGAGAGTGCACTCCCTACACTGCCTGTCTCATTCATGGACATACCACATGGGCAGTCGCTTAGTCGCCATCACGATTGATTAGGTAGTCGCCACGGCAATTGCTTATATCGTCACAACATGATTAGTTGATTTTGGGCATTCATTATACTACACAGGGAAGAGACCACTGACACAAAATACTACAATTTGGGCTTGTTATGAGCACACCTCCACTCAACTCTTTCAGCGTGTGTTCAAACAGACGCCCGATTATGAGCAATTCACAAAGTAATCTGATATGAGAGTATTCAGGTTCGACAACCGTCACCCAGGCTTCACTCCCTTTATTGAATCTTCTTCCACTTGGAGAGGCGCCCCAGAATTGGTACACCAGACGAATGTGCATAGACAGACGCCCTGGTCGATTGCCGCGAAGAAGGATTTCGTCGAGTTCATGCAGATAATGTGCGCCCATGATGATAGTCCGCGCGTTGTCATTTATTCAAAATATGTGGCTATCGAGGAAGGATATACGCCATTATTGATCCCAAACTAGCTATATAAGATGATATGGATATGTTGCCATGGTCGGCTTCTACATCATATGGCAAAGGATCATCATGTATATGATTTCAAGTTTTCCTTTCGGGATCTCTGAATACACTCAGGCATTATGAAACGGGAACGACAGAGACAACAGGAGCAAAACTTATGCGTCTCCGTTTCGTGGGAGCCCTCTTTCTAAACTTGATATATCGTCCTCTTCCCAATCAGCCTTCCGTTCATAATTAGATGAATTTTCCGGGCCCGCTGAATGCGTCGGTTCGTATGTTATACCAGGCGCAATCTCCTGATGTGTTTGATCCACTGCTGCACGCTCCACCTCCCTATTTGGTATGCTCCCGTTGGTGAGGTCGCTGCGATGGGTAGTCGTACTGACACTAGAGAGGCGGCCCCAGTTGCTCAAGGTAGGACACAGCCTTTTTATTATCCTATACCTTCTCCCTTCTGCCCAGGGTAGTTGGGTGGATCTCTTGGCTTCTCTTGGCCTCTTCTCTGGACACAGGATTGAATTTTTCCGGGTCAAGGCATACAATATTGTATCGCACAGACCAGACAAGGCCATCATCGAGCCCGCGACGCAGAAGTATGTTGCACTAGGGGTATGGCCGGATGTAGACGCCATCCTTCCGACAGCGAGAGGCAACGTCAGCGTGATATACACGACCGGGTATAGCACCATGTAGTTGTTGACTCGTTTTAAGCGACGGAGACTATCGGTGTTGAAGCCCCCTAGTGTAACGCAGTCGGCAATTCTGCGCTGGAGGTGAATGAACATAATACCATGGAGCAGAAGCGTAAGAAATTGTGCAGCGAAGATCCAGAAGTAGTGTGTCCACAGTCGCAACGCCGGGTGTTGAGTTGTTATCCAACACTAGAAAAAGAGATCAGCCATGTAATACAAAAAAAGGGTGTCAATGAATGGGGAACTTACCCATGCGACTGAAGGGGACCAGACGTAACGACCAACGGCCGCGATTGGAATGACGACCATCAACACGCCGAACATCCATAAACCGACTATCACGCCCACGAATTTCCGGTGGCCCAACTGGAAGTCCAACACGATATGTAAAAAGGTAAATGCGGAAATCGCAAATACAAACACCCCACTCATTGGATTTCCTGCCTGTAGCCAAATGCCTTGGATAAAACACGAGGCGTCGGATGCATGGACGGAGTTGGTGGCAATCCACCGTAGACTGACAATGAACCCCAGGCCCTGTATTAAATCTGCAATTGCCAGGTTGTATACAAGGACGATATATTGATTGTATCCGACGTAGCTTCGATAATATCTGCGCCAAAAAATGAACCGATAAGTGAGGAAAAATAGCACTGAACAGATCGCCACTAGCGATACGGAGGCAACGCATGAAACTGCAATCAGCCCATTTCGCAGTGTTGGAGGTAACGGGTCGATCGCATTTGCCCCGACATGTGAGGTCGCTGGATTAAATTGTGATGGTTCATTGCGAGACTGGAGGTGTCGGCCGTTCGAGAGCAGCCACTTCATATAATTTGACATGGCAATCGTTGGTCGTGATTAGGAACCAAAGAGCTTTTGACTCAACAAATGGATCCAGCACGATATAAATACACATACCCCACTTGAGATATCTCGTTAGTTATAGCTGGGTCCTCTAGTCTGTGAATGCATGAAATGCTACGTTATGATCCACCGTATAGGAACATGAGCTAACTCTTTAAGGCGACATCTGGGGTATAAGTTTGGTATTAAGCTTATTTAGGCATGGTATCAGTGGGGCATATGGGGAATGGGCCAATTGAATGTACACCCTGAAGGGCGGTGAGTATTAGCTTCAAGAGAAACACAAATGAAGTCATCATAGATCCTGCAAAGGGACTTATTTCTGCTTTTACGTCATCTTTTATTTTGCTAACTTAAGTCCCAGTCGATACCCAATACATGTGACTGTTTTATCTCTTAGTGTATGTATTCACATCTTTCCGGAACTGGACATCCCATACTTGAACGCAAGAAGTTCCATGGACTTTTCGGTAACAACAAAGTCCTTATCCGTCTCCTTTTTCTCACAAACATACACGTCACGAAGCTGCAGCTTGAGCTCCCCACTGACCCGGACAGTTTGGCGATGGTTTGCGGACAATGTCCATCATTTGAGCAGGAATCCGAAGGTCCATGCTTCCGTCAGGCCGTGAATTCCTTCCACACTGTTCGATGGTAGTTCGGTCACGAGCATGGACAGTCAATGTAATCGCGACCGTGACTCGGTCGTTGAACTCTTTGAACCAACATTTCATACTTTGCAGGAGTTTTAGTCGTGGTTCAAGACCACGCTACTTCGCCAACCAAACTTGGCCAGTCTTGGAGTTTTCCGCTTGACGGATCGATCAGTGTCCAGGACATGGCTCCTCTCTTGGTTATTGTCTCTCCGCTGAAACCAGCTCGCCCGTATCCACTATGGAGGTATGGTCGAACCTGTGCCAGGCACGGAAAATCTGATTCAGCGCTCTGACAGCCACTGCGTGGGTAGGCGATACCACTTCTACAATAGTGGACTGTGGGGCATGGTTGTAAACCTCTGATTATAGCACAGGGAGTTTCTCTTCGGAATTAACGAAGCATTCATTGTAGGAACGTTTATCAACATCCATGATGAAACAAGGATTGGATGTGCCTCCAGATGATTCACGCTCATAACTGTCGATCTTTTGCTTCAGAGCCCTAACCCATTCGTCGATTCCCCTATGGTTGTACTTGTATCTTGTTGTGGAAGAAAGAACATTCTCAAAAAAACATCATTTTGATAGAGCCATATAGATGGAAGGGCTGCCAGGGGTGACTAGCTAAATATGTAAGTATGAGTCATGACGACGCATGTATCTTTTGGTAGTCTTTTGATAGTCTTTTGATAGTCTCTTGATAATCTTTGTTGTTCTTTTGGTCGTTATACTATATAGTATCATTTATGTTACTGAGATACCGCCTTCCATATCCGGAACCAGGGGGTCATCTCCAAAAAGAATCGCCAAGCCATGACGTCAACCCCCACACTTTGTCAACATCGGGGTACGCGCTAGGCCAACGTCCGCTGGCCAGATGGTAAGCAATACCAAGCTTCTCCCTCATCAGTGTATTTTCGCCGATAACTGTTGAAGATGAGCCATGGATCACAAATGCCAGGACAATTGGACGATGAGAGCCATGATCTCATCCAGACCCCAGAGGAGCTTGGTCCCCTTCATGCACTGAGCCCGAGACCGGCCAACACTCAATGGAAGGCATCATCGCGGGCAGTAGATGAGACTCTGGCTAAGGGTCTGTCCAATGAAGATTTATGGATGTTGATCCGACGATTTAACAAGGTTAGTGTGATCTTCATTATTGAGATTAATCGCTGACATATGACCCAGCAAATCTACCATGTGAAAGCGGTTCATGATACCGCTGCTCTGAACTTGGATCTTAATCGCACAGAAAACGAGCAGTTTCCACCCGAAAAGCTGCGTATGACACTAGAGAGGTTTTATATCTCCGTGGTTGTCGGAGTGACCGAGTTTTTCCGCCATATCACTCGCCTGCGCTCGTGGAAGGAACCGGCGAGAACGACAATATTCTGCGCGGTATGTGGATCACGACCAGCCGGTTCTGTATAATATATTAATTTTTTTGACAGGGGTATTTCGTGGCTTGGGCCATGGATCTCTTGGTTCCAACCATTTTGGGCATTGTCGTAGCTCTGATAATGGTCCCGCCTGTTCGGATATTACTATTCCCGGGTTTGGCAAATACAGACAGTTCAAATGGAAGTAATCATCCGGGGGAACAAGTTCAATCCGAGGATAGTCTCACGGGCGCACCAGAAAATCACAAGGGTGAAGCCGCTGAACAAGAAGCCAAGAATATGGTTGACAGCTTTGCTACTGTTGCTATGGAGAGTGCAGCTGCCAAATACGGTCAAACAGTCACAGAAGACGCCCCCGACAGACCTGCGCTCATTGAAAGCTTAGAAGCTGCCGAGGCTGCAGCCGGAACCCCGACCGGTGATTCCCTTGAGGACAAGACCAAGAAGCCCATGAAGAAGAAGGTATCACACGCGGCTGATAATGTCATGCGTATTCTGAGCGATATTACTGATATTTATGAGAAATTTGCCAAGTGAGTTTATTTTGGAAGGATATATGAGCACACGATATTAACGATATGACAGCATCCTTTCTCCAACACCACCGTTCCTTTTAGTTACATCTAGACTCCGACTTGCGAGCATCTTTACCTTGGTGTCTGTTATTGTACCTTTCACATCTAGTTATTGGATCATCAAGCTCGTTGGCTTCGCACTTGGACTGGGCTTCTTCGGGGACCCAATCTTTACCTACACCCTTGATCTGTTGAACGATAAGGTACCGAACTGGAAAGATCATCTCGATTTGCAGAAGTATGATGTAACTCCTTTCTTTCTAGTCGTTTATTGCGTTGTTGACTTGAGACATAGAACACTTTTGGCTGGCGTTCCCACAAACGCGCAGCTCACTTTGACCCTGCTTCGAATCGGCGAGATTAATTCTTCGCCACTACCACCCGCCCCATCATTCGATGACAACGAGCCGGTATGGCCCATTCGCCGCAAAAAGTCACAGGCAGCTAGCTCTACAGACGTCAGCAGGCAGGGATCATCTGTGGACCTGGGCCTCCAGTCGACGGACTCCACCACATCGCTCCCGGAAACAAAGGTGCCGAAGAAGAGATTCGTATTCAAGCTCTTCAAGTTCTTTCGCCGCACAATTGCTACGGCCATCAAGGGCCACATTGCCTTTGACCGAGCCATGGCCATTGCAGGGTCAGCACATACCAAGAATCTGATTAGCATGCTGCAAAATGGACACTTTGCCGCAACGCCTTTCGGGCCCTTGAAGTTCGATGCGAAGTTCGAACGCAAGAGAGGCGCGGCGGTCATTGACTCGTCGAAGGAGCCTCCTATCTTGTATTTCACGACATATCAATCCGCTGGACTGGATGATCTATGCATCGAAAGTAGGAAGAAAGGAACTGTTTTGTTCCAGATTCCTGTCACAGAAATCAAAGAGCTGAAGAAGACGGAGGGACTTGGGTGGAAGGGAAAATTGATTGTTGAACTGACGGCTGGGAGCAAGGAGGCTGCAGATGGACTGGTTGTTAGTGGTGATGAGGTGGGCCAGACTTATCATCTTACTGGTATGAGGTCACGGAATCAATTGTTCAATCGGTTGGTTGCTATTGATGCGCAGTTTTGGGAGAGTCGTTGATACATGTAAGTGTTTGAATCCGTGGTACATATTACATCTAGCCTATTTAGAGTCTACTCTCAACCCTGGAGTCTACCTACACACGTTGGAATGTACGTAGAATGGCGAACAAAATATATAGTTGTTTATTCAACCCGAGTAAACGAGAGACTTTTATAGGAACTTCGGTAACTGCTGCCCTTGTAATACAGCCAGGAACTCGTCTCGGTCTATAATTTATTCCGATATAGATTAGCACAACCGAAAGAGTGAAGAAAATCAGTCCCCGAAGGAATGGGGCAGACTAACCTTCACTTGTTTGAAAAGAAATCGACATGGCACCCTCTTTGTTTTTGGCACTGGAGTTCTTAGGGCTCCGAGCCATGACATTCATCATATCAAGTGCCATACCACGCAAGTATGGAAGACGAGGAAGGGTGATGCGGGTATTGTCTTTTGAGAAATCGATGAACTCGGATGGAAGAGACATGGTAAGCCACTTGTCCGGCACGGAATCATCCCATCGTGCCGCAAGCTGGAAAGCCGTTCCTCGACGCCATAGTTGGATATCGGCTCTGCGCTTCCCTGACACTTGGAACCCAAAGAGCGAATTGCTTTTCGGTGAAAGGGACTGGATACGTCTGGAGTAGAGGAGTTCGTACAGAGGAGAGAGGGAGCTGAGGAATGTGCGGGCTACAAGGTTGTTGCCAAACTCAATGGTTGTCTGGCTGGTCTTTTTGTCGCAGTGAGAGAATGTGACAGGGCTTTCTGGGTGGTAGAGCTGGTCAACGTGCGTCGAAATGTAGTCTGTGCAGTAGATGCGGGGGAAATGGATACTGAATGAGGAGTGGTCGTATATATAGTCCGCGTCACGATAAATATAGTACAAGTCTGAGTATCTCCATGATGAACGAGTTTGGAATACTAGCACAGCTTTGTATTGCTTGTGCTCAGTGCCGGCATCAATCACATTGTAGGTGAGACCGGAGCTATTGGGCTGAGACCAGGAAAACTCCGGAGAGAAGTTCATTTCTAGGACGGCTTTTTCAAACTCTTCCGCCTTTTGAGGTGAGTGGAACTGCAGACCGACGCCAATATTTGGCGCAGTGTCATCGTACACGTAGGAGTGCAAGGTGTTGTAATTGCCGTCAGTCTTGTCAGATCGCGCCTGGCATGTATCGGACCATTGCAAGACCACCTGGCGGGACATGTTTCCTCGGTTAATCTGAGCTCCACTAAGAGGCATGAACAATTCCATCGTTCCTGGAGACTTCTCGGCAGCAGAGGAAGTGATCACCATGCGTCGGATAGACCGCCAGGCTTCCCCAAAAGACCTTTCCAGAATGCGCATCTCGCAGGATTTCACCACGATAGGAGGGTTCATTGATTTCATAGTCGGCGTATTCAGCTGCTCGAACATATCCACCGAGGTGTTGAAAATAACGCTCTCGGTAAATTCGGTTGCATCAATTGGTTCTCTTTGCCACACGGCATCAAAGTAGGTTTTCGGGATATTGATGAATTGTGCGAGATCTGCATCAAACTGAAATGATATCGAAACGCTCATATCCTCAAATTTGAATGGCACAGGTTCGGAGACTCGGGCACCAGGGAAGCCAGTTAAAGTGGCATTTGATAATTGGATAAGGGGCGGTAGGTCATCCAGTACGACTAGGATCATCGGTTAACTCCTTGAGAGGATATTGTAAGAATCGTCACTTACAGTCTCGTTCAAGACACAGAGTGCCACTTTGGTTGCAGAGAACAATTTTTGGTTCGCTTTCACCTTCCCGCGTTGCCAACAACAGCATATAGGGAGCACCCTTGGTGCGCATACGAGACTTTTTGCCCCCGATGCCGGCATTTACAAAGGCGCGATATAGGACCTTTTCCTGCTCGCTCCCTGCATCCTCTAGATCGACCGCAATCCAGCGCATATTATCCAAGCCAAGATCTAAATCGATGGCGCCATCCCAGATTTCCTCCGGCTGCATGGGCTCCCAGATGGCAAGGTTTTGGGTGTGTAGACTCGACGGTTCGGGAATGTCGACGGAAGTATATTGAGAAAGCTCCTCATTGATGGCCTATATTGAATTAGCCACAGGCTGGAGTAGCGATACAAAGGCACCGACCTCAGAAAGCTCGACAATTGACTTGCGATCCTCATCAAGCAAAGGGAAAAAAGAGGCCTCTTCCTCCAGAACGATATCGTACAGAATATATGAAGCCTTGAGGAGGTCATGATACGCTTGGTGACTAGTCGATCTGGATTCCATGGAGGGACTCAAACTGCCACGGGCACTGACATGGTGATGTCTGTTGCAATTTGCCAAAGTCGCGCGTGCCTTGATAAAATGTTAATAAATATTGTGTCCTGTTGGTTTTACACGGATAGCTCGCCTTCAACAACCACCAAGTCGCCATTCGGAGCCAATCCCTTGTAGTTAGCCTTGTGATCTGCAATCCGTCATTCACAGATGCCTCAAATATTTTCAAAGTTTCCGCGGTTGGTTTATGTAGTTGGTTCTGCGGCTCAAAACGTATGGGCCTTGAGATATGCTCCTGGTGCCGAACATCATGAAGATGTTTCATAGCGGATGTCACGGACTCAATAACGTGAGGATGGACGTAGTCAGAATCCGAGTAGGATCGACTGTGATGTACAACTTGCTTCTCCGCCAGGTCAGAATCGTTCGCCCGTATTCCACCATCAAGTGTCCGACCATCAATCAAGCCGCCAAAAAGGAGCTGCTCACTGCTCATCCGTGTGTAATTCATTCGGCCCCTAGTAGGTAGAAATGGTGATGTGTTCAAGGATAACCAAGAAGTCGACGAAGTAGTGTCGAAGAGCGAATCATCGGATTGAGTTATCGCCGATTCGGAGGATGTGGATGTATGTTTGACATTGCTGCTACTACCGACGGAGCTCCTGTTATTAGCCAACTCCGACATTCTGGTACGGACTTCCTGGATTATATCGATTTCGCATTCCTCTTCGTTATTAGCTGGTAGCTCCACCACACCCCGGGCTGGGCTCATCGGTGAGACAACAGAGTCTGTATCCCGAACAGGTGATGCCCCTCTGCTGAGAACAATCTTTTCATCCTCTCCCATCGCCAGAACTATTGGTTTCTCTATACGAGCAAGCGAGGCACTAAATTAATCAGACCGTGAGCCCGAGTTTGGGACAAGCAAAACAAACTCACTGTCCTATAGAGCTCATGCATAGACTCAGATTGGAAGTTTGCACCATGATCTTGGATCTGGTATCTTCAATCTGCGTTCGTTGTGTCGTCCATTTGATCTTTTGCCAGAACCCCTTTCCATCGCCAGTTTCAGATCCTTTTAGCCTGACAAGGAGCTCTTTCAATCGCTGTAGGGTTGCAAGACAAGTGCCGAGGGTTCGTTCGAACGTCTGCTTGCGATCATTATCCATCTTCTCGAAGAAGGATTCGTTGGATTTCACATAGTGGGCAAGGGCCTTTAATGTTTCTTGTAACGAGCCCAGCTCAATTATTAGCTTTTGGAACCCTGTAGGTGCATCCTTTGCGATGATCTGACATTGGTTGTATAGGTCGCATGTCACCTTGGCAAGGGCAGGTATCTCGATCATACTGAGAGTTGAAGGCATTCTTGACAACAAAATGGACTGTCACCAAGACTCAATAGTTTAATTAAGAACAAACAAGAAGCTGCGAGGGGCGCAATCTTCCCCACAGTAATGATCCACAGGACCGGGTAAACAGAATGCCTTTCAACGAGGCTAAACTGGGGTAAGCAGTAGAATATAACAAATTGTTGCCCAAAGACAAGCAGAAGACCGCTTAGCCATTATAGTAATAGCTGTGAAAGAGACAGCCTCGAAGGATAACCCGCCAAGCATTCCGAGCCAACACGGGGATCGGGGGTTGATTCGACTTATTCGATGGATGCACCCAACCACAGGTACTTCTTTCAAGGTAGTCATTCGATCGACATATTCATTGGTCAAACTGAATCAATGGTATGAATGGGTATCGGTGGAGAATGCAGACGGCCTTTCCCAAACGCATGTTTCTTTGATAATGCGCCACTAGGCTGTGTGTGTGCTGCAGGCAAACAAAGAATCGTAGAAAAAGTGGCGTCGGGTGACTCCTAGTTAAACGGGAACTATGCAAAAGGTTCAGAGGCTAGAGAATTATTAATTCTTTTTCCCCCTATATTAGGGGTTTTCATCTTAGGCCGGATGTGAAGTCAAACGCATATAAATAGCCCACTTCTTCCGTGCATTTGACTGTCAAGAAGGTGGTTCAAGAAGAGTCGAACATGACAACTTGCAGTAAGCCAGGATACTACACTGCCTGTTCCAAGTGACACAAGGGGAAAAGACCCGGGAAATGAAAGCTGAAAATGAAGATATAAACTACTCCCTGAACTTCTTATAGAAAATGCCCTCATCCACGACCCACTTTATGCCTGAGGCACCAACTTTTGATCGTCGCGACAGCTCAGCCCCTAATCTTTTTTTATTTTTTCTTTTCTTTCCTATCAGACACCCCATCTAGCTCTCAGATTGATTCCAAAAAGCATGAAACACATCTAAATAGTGTCCATTCTACCAGGCCGAGATATCTATAAGCTCGCTCCTCATAACCCTGCTCTACGATCTCGAAATAACCAAATCCACCATGGAGTCCACCGCTTCCTTCACTCTGGACGCCACGACAGTCCTATGTATCGTATTTTCGCTTTCTATGATGCCAATTGCGTATCTATTGAGCAAGACACTTGTCCCAGCTCACAGGACACGCGATCGCGTCCTCTTTTTCTGGCACGCGTATGACGCGCTCACCCACATCTTCATCGAAGGCTCCTGGCTCTACGAATGCTTCTTCAGCTACATCCCTATCGCTGAAAATCACAGCGTGGAACCCTTCTTCCTCAATGATCCGAGCCGTTTGTACGGTCCCGCCTACGGAACTGGACCTAGCTCGCGTCTGTGGCAGGAATACGCTAAGGCTGATCGCCGCTGGGCTGGCGCCGATTTGACTGTCGTCTCGCTAGAGTTATTGACCGTCTTCCTTGGCGGACCGACAGCGATATACATCTGCTACCTGCTGTGCCGGTCGTCCAATGAGAAGATCAGCGCCAATTCCCGTGGTGGTGTTAAGGCGACGCTGTGGCTGGTTTCAACTATGCTTGCTACGGCTGAGTTGTACGGTGGATTCATGACTTTTGCACCGGAGTGGCTGACGGGAAGCTCTCAGCTCGCTACGGAGGATCCGGTTTACCTTTGGCTTTACTTGTTCTTCTTCAACACCCTCTGGGTCTTTGTCCCTCTGTGGGTGTTGTGGGAGGCGGCGAAAGAGCTACGCGGTGCCTTTGTGGCGGCCGAGCCTCAAGATGGAAAGAAGGTCCAGTAAGCTCAGTCTGAGAGCGGGCGTTATGGAACGTTTCAATAAACTTACGGCTGAAACATTTTCTTTTCTTTTCGGAAATCTTGATTGGTTGGTATCCATCAGGTACAAAATAAGGCTGGCAAAATGTCGCCGTGTCGGACTGTGATAGCTTAGATTGTTATAAAATCCCCATTTTCTCCCAAGCATTACCAGCCGCTGATAGCAGTAAATAATGTTCACATTGCTTGTTGCATGGCATTTAAACACAAGAATGCTGTTATTCATCAACACAACTAAGAGACTTCATCTAAGGCGTCATATGCTGCTCGGGGTCATTCCTGGCCACTATTGCCATCCCATATGAAATGCTAGTCTTCGCTCAAGGTAGTACAAGAACAGTTGGCCTTAAGCGGCCTTGCCGTGTCTTTTTAGATGTCCCTCTAGGTATATGAAGACGTTTAAAAAAAAAATCTTAATTTGCGTAAGACCCTTTGATATATATATATCCAGGCCTTATTGTATGATTTGGGACCTGGAACAAAGAATAGCTTCCAAGGTTATCACCGAGACTTGAAAGTCCTACTCTAACTTGACGCAGACGATCTAATAATTACAAGATAAACTAGAGAGTTGTTTACTTGACCTATGATATTTCTAAAAGACTGTCTAGAGTTAGTCATAGTTTCCCAACCTTGGAAACTATGTACCCCTACGAGTCGGTGTCGTGGTCAGCCCTAAATTGCGTTTGGAATTTCCCACATTTCGTACTGTTTTGTTGTTTAATCGACCTCTGTAATCTTTTTCCAAAAGAGAAATAATACAGGTCTGGACGAAAAAGAAAGAGCAAAAAAAGAAATCTCTCCCTCGGGGAATCGAACCCCGGTCTCCCGCGCTTATCGGTGTTAATGACAAGCGGAAATCATCACCACTAGACCAAGGAAGATGTGATGGTCGAGTTACTGCTCGACCACTTGGCTGGTTGATGAAAGTACTCACCCATATGGGCTACATAAACCACAATTAATTGGAACTACTTTGGGGGTGTTCCTTTCCACCATTTAAAAAGAAAGGAACAAGCAAGAAGCAACCTTAGAAAAAGCAAGAAAAAAAAATTAAGCAAGGTACATTAAACGGAAAGATATGCCACACCCCGACGTTAATCTAGGACCTCTGATCCACGGGATCGTACTGGCAACCTCTTACGAGGTGACAGAGACCGAATGGCTCGTCTGCCGATGGACTTCAGCCACTCCCGCCCATGGCGGCGGACATCCTCATCTTGGCGAGCTCGCTGCTGGTTGAAATCTTTCAAGTCCTGTACAAAGTGACCTATCGCGGTGATAATGGCCATGGTTTCATCGTCGGCCTTGTTGGCTTCCACAAGGGCAGCGATTAGGTATGATTGAGGCCGATAGAAGAACGGACCTTGATCCTCACAAGGGAGGAGGGTAAAGCGGTCGCAAAGGGCTTTACGAATGCTATCGTGTCGCTGCTCCCAACTTAGATCTGTCCCTTTCATAGCGCGTCTCCAGGCGAAACAGTTCCAGAGGATACATATCCTCCCACTAGGCATAGGAAGCTTGAACATGCTAATAATGTAGTCCGTAAGAAGACCCATCTCCCAGCGAAAGCGGATCGTTGCCGCGAAGATTGGGGCTCGCTCCTTAAACTCATCTAGCTCGTAATACGCCCTCAAAGTTCCACCAAACCCTACCATCTGCCCTCGATCCCAGTCTCCCGGACACGTCTGATAGAAAGCCGTGCCATAACTTTAACCCGCCCGTGTGTAATATTATCTGCCATTTCGTTGATAACATTTTGCCCACTAGCAGTGCTCGCGGGGTCAGCCTCTCGGAAGGTAGGGTTGTCTGGGTGGGTGTTTCGTAGGTCACGACTCACAAATACCGGACCAGTGTAGGGGTGGGAGGCGAGCTTTTTCCATCGGCGTTCGAAGTCTGCGAGGGAGACTCTGGTTCGTCCTATCCAGGAAAAAACCCAATGATCATCCTAATTTTAACTTCTCTTTTAACTAGTTATACGACACTACCCTATAAAGATTCACCTACCCCTAAACTAGCGGTCAAGAGATCTGCCAATCTTCTTCAGATTCAATTCACTTTAGATTCACTTTAGATTAAGTTCAGATTAAGTTCAGATTAAGATAGTAAGATAGTAAGAAATCAAGAGTTAAGCCTTCAGAGTTCGGAGTATAAAGAGCTCAGTTTTAAAAAAATAATGTAGTATTCATTTATAAAAATACTATATAAAGTACTACGCTAATTGTATAACTATAGATTCAACATGGTACTATGGATCTAAAGTATTGCCTGGCAATATGAACCAATGAGAGAGAGAGAGTTATGTGTCGGGTGGCATACTTAGTCGCCCGTATATTTGGTCAACTTGCGGGTGAACTGCAGTATTTCGTTACAGAGATGAACGACTACAAAAAAGTATTCACAAAAAAGTTCGTAGAAAGGAAGGAATTTCGTTTTCACTATGGCGGATTAATTACTGCACTACTAGTAGTTTTAATGTGTACTTATGTTCTGCAAAATGCCACACTTCATGATATATGAATTTCATCGGTAAAAGTGCATTGAAGATCACGGCTGAGTTTGCCCCATTCATAATTGAATCGGTCGTGTGACAGCAGACAAGGTATTTGTGTACACAATGAGATGTCAAATCCAACAAATTCAAGACACGATAGGGATTATAAAATATTAAAAGCTCGGGAGAACACAAGCTACCGGTACAGCTCAAGCGCCGGACAGCCACATAGATTGAGGGCAGATCGAGCTGAAACAATGTAGGGCCACATACGATTCACTAGCGCGTACATGTGGACGTGGTGGTTGACGCCCGAGTACAGTCACGCCCCCAACAGGGCGGACCACACTTGGTTCAGGACCTTGAAGCAAAACAGCTTTCAAATCATGGCGGATCAGGTATTGATTCGCGCCGAACGGTCGGGGTAAGTGTCATCAGAAGATGGATGTAAACCAGGGGGTAAACAAGACAGAGTAGATCCAACAGGGAGTCCACATATTAGATGTATTTGAGATGGCAGAGCAGAAGCATTCATTCAGCTCTCCTTATCCTGGTTGCGGAGCTTGTCGAGGCTATCACGGACAGTATCGCGAACACTGAAGCCACCGAATAGCCAGTCGTTGGAGTGACGACCGTAGTGGTTGACAGTTCCACTGTAGCGTTTGTAGTCACCGCTGTTCTTGCGGGTGGGGGTAGATGCGCGCTTAGGGCTGTCCACCTTTGGCGAACCTATGCTGGCAGACATCTCGGTGGGGCTGGTTGAGGTGTAGTCTTGGTCCGGGAAGTATGAAGCTTCGTGATTTCTCTGTGGGATATCTCGAGGCTGTGACATTTTGTCTTGGTGACTCTTGGGGATATCAATCGATGCAGGGGACTTGGACCGGAAGAGATTGGAGATAGGCTTTGACAATCTGGAGCGCTTCTTCTCTTGAGAGAACTGGCTAGTGTGAGAGGAGGAGGAGGTTGAGGTAGCTGATGTTTGGGAGAGCGATCTCTTGGGGTGGATGTTGGATTGAGTGTGCATCACTTGGAATATATGAAGTAGAGAATGAGAAATAGAAACCAAACAGGCTGCGGGAAGGGTTTATTTATGTTCGAGACAAGTAATTTCCCACTTGGGATCTTTGGCGGGGTCCCGTAGGGCAACCAACCAAAATGCAGCACAAAGTACAACATTGTCTCTATGATGTCGTCAAACACGGACAAAGGAACGCCCTCGGCAGAGACACAACCAATCAGCTTCATAGCACATGACTTGGCGACGGACCCGTCCAAATCCCAACCAATAAAAGCTGAAAAGATGAAATTGGAAGATCCACTTGTAAGGTTTAGTGTGATTTTTTGTTGTCGGTGAGATTGGGAGGTTCCAAGGGACAAAGTGCCCTATCGCCCGCCCATCAGCCAATCAGCTATTGTTTCTGCCTTGGAGCCTCCTCTTCACGCTCCTCGGACCCCGCAGATTCACCGTATCTTGACCGTCTTAACCGTCTTGACACGTCTAGGCCTATTTTCTCACTTCCCGCATGTCGTATTTGAAATGACACGTCTACAACCTACACTTTTCCGTCGGGATGTGCATAAACGTATACTATTCAAATACATAAAAGTCTTTCATATTTGATTCCTCTTGGGTTTGTGACTTCATCGTTCCGCCCAGGTGGGTCACCGCGCGGGGTTGGAATTAATATAAATAAGAACGCCAAAACACGAAGCCTTGATGAGACAACCCCGTGCTCCAATTTTGTCTCTCGTCGCCAATCAAACCCGCCTAACTCTCCTTCTAGCGTCCTTCTAGAATGCCGTGCTAACCGAGTGACTGAGTCACCTGGCCCCCACAAATGCATCAGCTAGGCTAGTTAGTACATTGAACGATAGTTTAGCTGAGGGCAAGTTGGCTTCATGCCCACTTGACGTATTCAAGTGGGGTAGGTTATTATGATATTGACTGGGCTGGAAAAAGTTATCCTTGAGAGATATTTGATCGTTTTACACAGTCTCGCACGACAGTCTGAATTAATATTGACCTTGTCGTCTGGTCTATGAGGCATTCGATCCCTTAGGAAAAAAGCCTTATCTAGAGGCCCAGACGTCACTTTCTAAACTACATATGTCCTGTCCCAAATGAAAATAAGAGCAAAGCCGTTTATTATAAATATCAACATTAAGAAGCAATGACCAATCATCCAGCAGATGCGACAGTAGCGCGTTAAAACACTGCTCGAGCCCAAGTGCATAACCCTAAGAATGGACATTGATCTTCCACTGTTTGTTAGGCCATTGGCCATCTCCTAGGTCCCGCACGGTCATTATTTCTAGAAGAGTAGGCTCGTGACCTTTGGGCATTTCAGGGCGGTTTGAAGATACCAGAAAGTAACTATTTTTGTGCCAACCAGAAAACGTAGAGCCAGCCTCAACAAAAGTCCTTCTGAGCCACTTCGCTATATCCTTGTGTCCTTTCGGATTTGCAAGAACTTGCGACAAAATATCTTGTAATCCACGTATTTCATAACAAGTCATGACACGTAGAGACTGGGTGTCCTCATTGATAGAAATCATCGTCATGATTTGAATATTGAGAAGAGGATGCTTCGTGAAGGTACAATTATGCCCCATGTGATTCCGGATGTTGCTCAATCTCAGCCTGTGAAACATATGATAATCGCGATATTTTGAGCGATCTGATGGCCCGTCTTTATTCTGTGACCTTACCATATCAATCAAGTGACGTACATCCGGAAATTTAATGCTGAAACAAGGGCAAATATCGACCTCGCTAGCATGAAAACAGGGACCTCGAGAAAATGGCCAGATAGGGCGATAGTACCATTTTGGAGGTGGGTATATCTTCTGGTAGTACTGGCAGTAGCAATGGCAATACTTCCAGCGGCTATTCTTAAGTCGGTTGATTATATTTGTTTTTGAACTTTCATTCGGAATAACCTTGGGATATAGTTCGGTGGGTGTTTCATGTGGCACGAGACAGGGTCCAGAAAAGGAGGTAAGCCTGGTGAATCGCCGCCTTATTTGTTGGATATCCATTCCGTACATTTATCTGTCTGTTCTCTAGAAGTTGGTTGAAATGGCTGATGAGCTGAGCTGAGAAAGGCCAAGTAGTGACGGTGTTTGTACGTCGATGATAAGGTTCCTAAATTGGCTTAGTCCTGGAGCTTGATTATGCAAGGGCCGCCTCCCACCTGGGCACTTGCGCCTTTGTATACTCGCACACCAACTGCTTGCTATTATCAACTACCTGACCTATTCAATCCTTCACGCACCTACAACTCCATAATGGATAATGAGCATTTGCTGTTGATGAGTACGCTTCTCCTGGGCGTCTCCATTTTGTGCTTATTATTTGTGATGTGCCCTTAATACCAAGCCAAGATCCAGGAATGAACCTTACATAACAATAGTGCTGTAGTATGGCCAAGTGTGCCCGAATGCGGCCCTACTTCCCTTACCCTATAGTCGTGTGTTACTAAACTATCAATTCTCTAAGGGAGAAGTAGAAGATGGAGCAAAAACGGCGAAATATGAATGAAAGCTTGAAGTCGGGATTCTCTCACTCATGATTTCTTAAACCCCGTGTGGGATTCTCAGAGTTTAGTTTTATCAGGGAATATCACAATGTTCTTTCGATTACTTACTCTCTTCCCTACAGCCTGCAAATCAGAATAAAAATAAGTGAATGTATGTTTACACATGTGTGATCGGTCTATAAAATGTCTACAAAGCTTTAGACTCACCTCGATGGTATACAGTCACAATGACTAGTTCTGGGTATCTCGTCATTGCATTCGAGAACGAGAATCCGGGGTATGCATCGGAGTTCCATTAACGCGGTTTTAGATCTTGGCTCATCCATTGACATATTTCCCGGTACACGAGCCATAGTTCAGTACTGCAAATTTGTAGAACCCCAGTCGGAGATACCGGAGGTAGTGGCCTGTGTTTCGGCTGATTTTAAATCAACTTGTGCGAAGCGAGAGATTTAGCACAAGAATTGTTTGCATGAACAGGAAAATCCCGGGATTCAATTAGTATATTACGACGATTTTAAGGCAAGCAGGTTGTTGATATTTAGGCTTTGTACTTACGAGGTGGTATTTGTATCTCTTCGGTGAATATCGCAGGCGAAACGGAGAGGTTCGGTAGGAAATAGGAATTTCATCTCCATTTCCACTGAATCTTCTAGGTCTGTTCTACCTTTCATGGATAAAGCAATTCAATATTTCAACAGAATGGGAGTTACCTGGTCGCAGATTTTCCCGCCCCCTCCCACTCTGACCGAAGTCAATCTTCCCAGTCAGAAAGGCAAAGTCTTTATCGTCACTGGGGGTTATTCAGGAGTTGGCTTCGAGCTATGCGGAATTCTTTATCGAGTAGGAGGAACAGTCTATCTGGCCGGTCGGTCTGAAGAAAAGGCATTGGATGCGATTGCGAAAATTAAAAACTTGTGTACCCCGACAACCCCAGATGGAAACATAATTTTTCTCCCTCTATCGCTGGACGACCTGAGAACTATCAAGCCTGCAGTTAGGAGGTTTACTACAGCTGAATCTCGTCTTGATGTTTTATTCAACAATGCTGGTGTCTCTAACCCTCCCCAAGGGACTTCGCCCCAGGGCCACGATATGCAATTGGCAACTAATTGTCTCGGGCCCCATCTTTTCACCCAACTCCTTCTGCCAATTCTACGAAGCACTGCTGAAACCACGCCTATCGCCAGTGTACGGGTTATCTGGACAGCATCGATTGTCGTTGATGCATTCGCGCTTGAGACCGGGATAGAGCTTGCAGAACTATTCCAGAAAGATGCGGACGAATTCCACAACTACCTGAATACCAAAGTAGGAAACTGGTTTCTGGCAGATTCCCTCGCAAGCCAGATTGGTGGATATGGCATATTAAGCTTGGTACAGAACCCAGGAAATATCAAGACAAACATCATGCGTCATAGTCGGCCTTTTTTCCGTTTTGTTCTTGGACCGTTCCTTCATGCCCCTAGATTTGGAGCGTATACTGGAGTCTGGTCCGCCTTTTCTAGTGATCTCACAATTGATGATGGGGGAAATACATACTACCCTGGGGTCGTCTACATCCGTGCCCAAGAGACGAGTTGTTGCGAGCTATGAAAGGGAAAGAAGAAGGGGGCACTGGAGTTGCAGCGGCATTTGTACAATATTGCGACAATCAGGTTGCAGCATTTCTATAGTTATTCTATGCCTTTTTGAACTTGGGGATTCTGTTGGGAGATAGTGAAAGAAGAGCGTTCACTGATAAGTTGAAACTCCCAGTTTGAATATTTTATTGAATCCTACATGGTGATATTCGGATATTGGGATCTTTATCAGTATCTGACTGGAGATCATTTGGGTCTTTGGATTATCAATGGACTAATTACACAGACTTTCTTTCATGCCGTCGAGCCTTTTGGAATTCGCTCAGATCTCCCTTTTTAGAATCCAACCGTATAAACGGAACAACATGTTCAAACAAAGAGAACAATGCAAATCGAGCAAAAGCACAAACAGAAACAGTCTAACAAATGCTACCAACGAGGATTATTCTTCTTGTTCCTGAAGTGTCCACAATGTAGCGCTCGGTTTCCTCCACGCGTGTGGTTGCTCAGAATGACACCTCTGATCTCGTCTTTCAGCCATGAATTTTGCTGCGTCGTCTCCAGCCACAGAAGACCTCCCATTATCCAAGTCCAAGAAACTTGTCTTCTCGGCCACATCATGGGGTGTTATCAAACCAGACATTATAAATGAACCGCTGGATTTGACAAACAAAGAGCGAGTTTTGCCCAAGGACGGCCGACGTGTCAACCGACGCAGAACACTCCGATAAGCCTGTTTCGTCTGCCCCGACGATCCCGACAGTGAGCTCTGATCGCTTCGCCTCTTGACAGATGATCGAAACCAGAGTCGAGGCATCCGTTTTGGCTGACGGGAAAGTTCGGGCATTCCCATATCATCGCAAAGAAACTCTTCTGTGCTAAGCGGAGCCGCCATGGCTTCCTGAAAAAACAGTGGGATGTAGGTAGACACATTCATTCCTAAGCCGTCGGGCTCACTCATACACAGTTCTGAGTCGCAGTGGGGCCATGTGTGGTGCCTTCTGTGGTGACGGATACATGGCATACTGGAGAGAGAAGAGAGGGAAGAATTAGGTTGGGTGGGGACGAGATTGTAGTGAAATTTATCCTGCATTCATGGTGTATTTAAAGTGGGAGGAAAATAGCCTAGATCAGATAATCGGGGATATTAACAGCTTTATAAAGGCCGTGTGCTTGCACGTGTAGAGCTATACATTACTCAGATGCATTCCCGGGTGACTGAACACTCGTCTGCGGGTGAAAATGACCCAGGCGCATATAAATTAAAAACCCAGACACCTGGGGTTCAGATTCGGGTGTTGCCAACGGGTTCATGAGGAAACATGGACGAGAAAGAAAATTAAGAAATAGCTTTGCGTAAATGTAGTGCTAAGCACTCTTTCTCGCCAATTTTGATAATTTAAGTGGTTTTCTCATTTTAAATAGAATCTCTTGGCCATGTTGTCTCTTGAGGGAATGATCACCCTAACCCGATCTGGTCAAGAGGACGGCAGATTGTCCCATGACGCCAACGACACGACAAGAGACAGACGTTATACTTCACTCTATGACTCAAATGGTCTAAATATAATTACATTTTGATGGCTACATTTTCGCTGATGTATGTTGTATAAGGTGGACTCAAACCTAACATACTCAGCTGACCTAAGTAGTTAGTACTTCGTTATAAGAGCAGGTCAAACAACGAAGTCAAGTACTGGCTACTTTTGTAGTCCTGAAATAAAGGAGTATACCCCTAAATGCGCACCACAACTAACCAGACTATATTAAACCAACAATTATCTATTCGAAACCAAACCACAGTCAAGACCCCGTCATCTGCCCCACTCATACATCAGTTTGATGGCTGTTTTATATTGCGGCACTACTTCGGGAGACACAGGCGAAATACCCACACAAAAAATAATCATTGCCCACTATTTACAAGGGCCTTACCCTACTAGATTAGGAAGTCAATCTATCTAGTGTAGATAAGGCACAACTGGACAGGATATGTATCTAGTCCAATTGGGCATGTTGCCTTTTCCGCGTGGTTTCTTTTGCTCTCTATGTGGCCTATGAGGCGATGAGAATAGGTGATAATATGTCCATTTGCTTAGAGAACCCTACATATGTTATATATTCTACATGAGACTCGGTAATATGTATGTAGGTGCATTTGTCCCGCTTATGAGTACCTTTTGCCCCAAGCCAGCAGATAGTATATTAGGCTGAACAGTAGTATTCCTGTGCTCCATTCTGTTACTTTAGCCCTACCCGCACATCCACCTGCTATTCACAGACAGAAGGCGGTTGGAGATGTCTCAGACCCTACTTTGAAATTAATGTTGTATTATGTCGGATACTCTTGTTATCCCAAGCATTATCCGAAGGGGTATCATGGCATTCACCCTAGTGGTGAATGCACTCGAACCGAGAATACTCCACTACATGATTATCATGACCCGGGGAAGAATCTCTGACGTTGTGTGAGATCGGGATTAGTCGGGATTTGCCAAAGGCCGGAAACAACTCGGCGTTCATGTAAATCCTGAGTATATCTGCAGCTAAATTGAAAGAAAAAGAAAAGAAAAGAAAAGAAAAAGAAAAAAGCTCCACAGGGATTAACAGCTTTGGTTAGTGTATGGGCTAATAGTCCCGGAATAGAGGAAAATTCACCCGAAACATGGATAGGCAGCGCTAAAAACGATGGAATGAGGAGTATGTACTATGCAAGCAAAAATTATTCAAGAAAAAGTGGATATAGACCGCTAAAGACTAATTGATAGATTTGCATTTGTCCGAAAGAAACTTATTACTCTCCTCCCTGTGGCAAACAAAATAAAAATAAAAATAAAATAAGCTTCCAAGATTCTGGTTCTGCTTAAACATGAATAACGCCGGAGATCCCCCGAAGCAAAAAGAGGTAGAGTACTATGTCCTTCAATTACGCGCGCTGCCACGCCGCAATATCCGCAGCGGAGATATCCAAATTTTCAGTCGTGAGCCGCTGAAGACTTGCCACCTGAGTGGGAGCTAGAGTTTTTGAGTATCAGCAAGCGTCCAAAAAGGGCAAGCAGGAGGGGCTAAATTTCGGCTCTGAAGGGAAAAATCCAGGGCAGAAGAGGGGCAGAACCAAAAAAGAACGGGGCAGAAGATGGGAAAAGGGAAAAGAGGAAAGAGGGCCCGGAGTAAAGCAAAAAAGGACCAAAGCAAGGAAAAGGAATTGACCCACTTGGCCGTTGGGCAGCCGCACCGGCGTGCACATGGATGATTGTCGAATCAACATATTCCTTCGTTACAACGCCGTTGTACGAAGCCGCACTAAGCATCACCCGCAGCCGAAACTTGCCTGGCTGCGAGATAGTGAGTGGGTTGAGTTTTGCATATCCGCTCATTGCGTTATCGGTGCGGCTCCGCACGCTTGCCGTGAGATTCCCGCTCAAGCCAACGGCAGCTCCTGTGCCAGATTCGTCGCGGAGAGAGGCGCTCACGACAAGGTGCTGCACATTTTGGGCTGGTGTCCCGATTGGGTTCACGGCAATGACTACTGGGATTGTGAAAGGGGAACCAGGCTGGGCGGCTGTGGGGGAGTAGTCTCGAAGGACAGTGTGAATTCACGGCCGGCCATTTTTGTGTTTGTTTGACGATATGGTGCTTGGGAACAGACGAGTTTCGTTGGATACTCCAGAGAAAAGAGTTTAAAGCTCGAAGATCTGCTTCAATACAATGGAGAAGTAATGGGAGTGGAGAGATCGTGGAACTGTAACCGTGAAGTATAATCTAATAAGATTTGGATGGAAGAGAGGCAAGAAGAATAGGAAGAATGATTGGTGAGATGGATGAATATGAGAATCAGGTCAAGTATGAACGTGCCGTACACAGGACTTCATATACTTCATGGCAGTTGCCGAGAATCAATAACAGATATACTTTAGACCCATAACCTCAATTGAGTGGTAAGTCACGGCGGGGGCACGGGAATGTCGCCACTCATTCAAAAGTACACGGTTAGCCTGGACGAAGGTCGGCGACCAGGTACCTGGGACGGCCAAGGGAGCCACCATGCCCGCAGAACCAATATTTGTGAGCTCAATAAAAGGTCTGCTCGGCATACTGCATGATCCTTGCAGCAACACGTTCCGGCAACGGAATCGAACAGTGGGGCGAGTGCGTACTGGATAAGTACTTTCTTCCTAATTGGGGCGATCGACGGGTACGCGTCTGGGTAAAATACTAGATGTGGAGCATGTTTAAGAGATCTCTGAGATCGAAGATGCACACTGCATGAGATCTGAAGCTAGTGCCAGGATCGACCCCGGGTTCCCTCACGACAGGGTTCCACCATGATCTGTACAACCTAGAATTTCTGGTTTGGCCGTTTCGCCCGCTACCTCGATGGGCCCGAGGTCGCCCATGTAAACCTGACAAAATTGACAGGCAAACGGCTTGACATGCATGGTTTAGGTTTAGGTGCGAGGATAGGAGTCGTGGATTGAGACACAGGACGTCAAAGCAAAGGGGGTGCACCGTGCCTGGGGGTCTATTCTTTCAATAGTTCCGTGCACGGATCAAGCAGTAGGTTCATGCCCAACGTTATTTGGTCTCTATCGCAGCTTTGGTGCCTTGTTATTCGGCTCCGAGCATCTAGTAAGTCGCAAGTGTCATGTTTGGACCCTTATTGTTGGATGTGGCGTACCACTAGTATGCAAGTATCTCATCTTGGTCATGGGTACTTCGTACATATGTTTGTTATGGAGGTACCTACCCCCACCCTAGACATAGGTGGACATGATCCTCGAGTCGGATGAATGGAGAACATCAGACCGCAATTGCTGCCTTTGCATGGCCCCTTTAATCAGCAAAATCAAAGCCACACCCTAACGGTGAACTGTGGCGTTTGTGGAGTCAAGTGGACACTATCTTCGCCACTCGGAAACACCGACATATCCCACTTCAAACTCCGAAAAGCCTATTTTGTGAGAACTCTCGTTCTTTCCAAAATCTATCGGAATTTCCCTCTTCTAACTGTGTTGCCTAACGGAGATAGAAAAAATGGCGGCATTGAATTAGGGCGTAGGATGATGTTGTGACAGCTGGGTGAACTAGGTGTTGACATCTTTCACAATGCACCTTGATCAGTGATCAGCCTCAAGGGCCCGGCCGAGACTCGGATCCTGGCCGAGATTCCATGTGTTTGCCAGGGAACTCATTTAGAATCTGAGATACGCCCCACAAGAAGCTTGAACCATCTCCATGTGATCCTATCATACCCTTCAAGACCAAGGCGATCGTCTCGACGATCTCTTCAATAATTTAAATCATTCGACGCCCCCGCCGCAACAAATAGGATACCAGAAAATGGAATATTGTTTGCTTTTGGCGGTCCGAAACCCGTTGGGCAGAATATTGTGACACAGGCGCATACAGAATAACCTTGGAACGTCTGATCCTGAGTACCGAGATGTAACGCAGTTAGAGACGCTCGAGGGTTGACCACAAGACAAAGAGGGAAAGCTAATCATCAATTTAATCTAAAAAGAAACGTATCAGAACCGTAAATGGTAATACCCAACAAATATGCAGAAAGTAGAGCCCAACAAAAAGCAAAATCAAGTAAGACAAAGACGCAACCTTTCGAAAGTCAATAGTCTGCACCGCCACCAGATCAGCCGCAAGTGGCTCGAGAGTGGCTGGTTTGTGGCGGTGTGGCTGTGGATCAGGTTCTTTCCTAATTTGGCAGGTGGAGATGGACCCAGAGTTCCTGCCTAGGTGCCTCGGGTCACTTATCATTTTATACGTTCGTCTTAGATCCATTTTGCCGATCTTCAAGATTGTGTATAAGGTTTGGAATGTGAAGGTGAGTTTGATATGTCATTTGATATGTCAATTGTTATTCGAATTTGGGACTCCCTTAGCGTCACTACTAAAGTAGTTTGCCACTCGAACGTATTTGCCTAGAGTTACATAGGGGCCTAGACGAGGCGGTAAACAAGCGGACGTTTGTGATCGAGACCTTTCATGAACTGTGCATATATGTGGATCGATCTACCATTGCTATCTACTCATCAGTCGAGCCTAAAGTAGGTGTAGATTCCTGCCAAATGCAGAGGATATGTCATGTAGACGAAAGTCCTGAACTAGGGAAAATTGTCATTGAAACAGCAGCCTTCTCCACAACTGATCGACAAGAGTCTTCGCTGGAGAGCAACCACTACATGGTATCCCATGTCAACTCTGGAATGTTCTTTGCCGCACGAACAGGGCCCTTTGAATGCCTTCATATTAGCCGGGAATGGAGATTGAGTCTGGTGAGCTAGGTGCCTTGATAGCAGCACGAGACAACAGGAACGTATCCTATAGGCCTATATCGACATGTACACACAAATATACATTTGCATGTTGCTGGCAGCTTTCAGTATTTGAAAAAAGCTCGATAAACCTATGATCTGATGCAAAGCTGACTGTATTTGTTCCTAGTCTCAAGGCACTGGGGTTAGATAGATATGGAACCTCAAACATTGTAGAACATTTCCCAACCGCTATGTAATATTTGCCATGACGTGTTCTTGTAGGAATAAACATTCTGAAGAAATATAGAAATATGGCTGTGATGGAGGTATAAAATCCAAATAGGATATGGTAGGAGAGTTCGGCGTGTGACTTGCTGCTTCCTCATCTCTCCAACCTCTCTCATTTGCACACTGCGAGAACAGTCTTGACGAAATTTTGTGCTATATATCCTTACGGATTCCTGGACTAATTCCTGAAGAGTATACCCAGGCTTCCATAAAATGGCGCCACTGGCCACTCGACAGAGCCACTCCCTGGTTCCTGGTATCCCGCGTCCCCCCAAACGACCTCCAAACACAGCAATCAAAGTCCATAAGGAAATTGACCCCATGGTATTCTTTGAGCTATTCATCGGAACCGTTGGAATATTCATACTTGCAGTCCTGTTTTGGAAGATTGGGGGGTTCATCAGACGATTCAATCGAAGCAAGGTGCTGAGAGAAGGCAAAAATACGAACACCCGATACGCACGAACATGGTATGGCTGGGTCACACGGCCGACACACGAGAGAAATAAAAGGGTGATTCATGACTTTTTCGTTGGAATTTGGAAGTCAGTGGCGTGGAAGTCGACCCGAGACGACTATAGTTGGATTTGGTGGGATCCTGGCGATGTGGAAAGGCAAAAGCATCGCCGAGAACCGAAAGGATTTCCTTGGCTACCAGATTGGCTCAAGAGCTATGATGATTTCCCCACCGCGGCTGATATCTGGGATCCTTGTTCGCGACCCAAGTGTCATGGTGCGTTGCAGGACGGTGTTTCAATGCCCCAACCCGTTCCAGCGCCGGGCTCTGTGCAGAGGCCGCAAGCGCAAGAGGATATATCGGGATCAATCCCGCCACGGCAACCCAAATTGATCAATAACCAACCAGTTATCACTCGTTCGATTCTAGAGGAACTGCTCAGGGACCCGCTGCAGCCACATGATGGCAGTTCTGATCACCAACCCTGGTTCAATTCTTGCAAGAAGGCAGCAAGGTCAGCTACACGCACACCGCTGCCGTTCCGCCTGGTCCAATCATTACCATATAGACAGAATCAATCCCACCGGGTCCGAGGATCGATTCCATGGCCGCGTGGTGAGCGATCGCAAGATATCTCATGTCAAATCCCATCTGTCGCGCAACATGAGGGTTTGCTAGCGGAGCCAAGTAGCTCAATGCACAAAAGGCAACCTGGACCACTTGAGCGACATGGTGGTCATCGCAGATACCGTGGATGGTCAGCACGAATGCAGATGGGGCCAAAAGAGGCAGTCTTTGACAACATAGGGGATTCATCCGGCCCTCCCGGGACGCCAAGGACCGAATTGTTGGTCAGCTATGTCTCAGACTCGGGGTCTTCTCTTTGTGGGCACCCCAAACGGCAGCGAAATAGCACCAAAGGGCGGTTGCGTATCTCGGAAGATACAACATCGTTTACTTCCAGACTCTTCATTGCAAATCAAGTTCTGCTCTCAAATGAACGGCGAAAATATACCAAACCCATCCAATGGAATTCTGCCCCAGCAATGTTCCGAGGGAAGGGGACCAATTCAAAAGCGAGACCCGCTTTGTCTGATGAATGGCGATGCATGTATGACCCCAAACATCCTGCCCTCTCCCGTCGTCAAGGTAAACGCCCGGTAATAGACATCACTCGATGTTCTGCAGATCAAATCCAGCTCAAAACAGGAGGCGCTGTCGATGAGTTGAGTGATTGGGAGGTCAGAATGATGGAGATGCTAGATCGAAAACTGCTATGGCTCTTCAATGAATTCACTCCTGGGCAAAAACCATACCATTTTGCCTTGCTGGCCAACCATTGGCTGAATAGAGAAACATGGATTGTTTTCGATCCTGTCTCCAGAGTTCCTACTGATGCACGTCGGGTGTGGGGAGACCCACGATTCAACGTTCCTTATCCAGAGCCGGTTTTCAGCCCGAGACCAAAGTACCCTGCATCCAACCCAAAACGCGCGCAGACTCCTCGTATCGACTCTTGGCGGGCCGCAGTGAATAAGCAGCGGAAGGTATCCGGTATACGAGACGCCATTCGCACTGTTACACTGTATGATGAATCGGTCGAGGAACCGCCAGATGGTCATATCGATCCAGGCTGCTGGGTCTTGCCGAAACCGCCTCAAGGCTTTGAAATGTCCACTGCGCAGAAGAACGCCTGGTATGAAGGAGGGGCAGGCTGGCAAGAGAAGCTTGATGATTGGCAGCAAGTCCACCGGGGATATCGTCTCCACAAAGCCATCCACGAAGGCCGAGTTAATCGGCGCAAGGTCAAGGAAGTTGCAGCTCAAGTCAACAAGTGCTGTCGTACTGCGTCCGGAAAGTTGATCCCAGGCTATGGTCTCGGGAAAAGAACAGCTTCAAACATTTCAAACATCGTTGTCTCATGATTCTTCTCGAACCCTTGGCTTTCTCAAAACAGTCACTTATGTCTTGCCCTACCCGTGACCTAATCGGATTTCGCACTCCACACTCACTTGAAACCCACTCAGTATATCCATCACTTCTAGTGCCATAGTGCCATACGCTCACTACCATCATGTCTGTCGCTGCATTTATATCATTAGTATACCCGGGGGATACCGGAACCGAACACAAATAGATATCCTTGCCAAAATGCATTTGAATTGAAAGCCTGATCTAAGCGCTGGGGTAATCATGGAACATTGTAAGCCACCATCCTCTTCAGAGCGGCCGCGCTGCAAATTCCAAAAAGCCAAAACTCCGGTTGTCCATATGTTGTTTTTCGCTCTGACAAGTCCCCCGCCAGAGTCGAGTTTCGGATGTATAGTACATGTGCGGGGGATAAAAATCCGTTTAGAAACCGGGAGGGTTGACACGTTGGCTGACACGAGTCCACTTGGGCAGCTCTGAGGGTAAAGAAAATGGTTAGCTCAGCCGATCCACGCAGTAATGAATATCAATTGGTTTGATATGGGAAGTGGAAGTGTGATATGGGAAGTGGAAGTGGAACGAGAACATACTGTGAATGCTCTTCCGGTAGCTCTTCTCCTTCTTATCGAAGAGAGTGTACTTGTCCTTCGGCAGCATTTCCTCCTCGCGGGGCATCTCTGCAAACCACCGGCTCACAGCCTTGGAGGACTGGCCATTGCGCTCAAGTGCGGCACTGACGGTGTCAACGACGCGGTCCACGGAGCGCAGGCGCTTGCGCTGTCGTGCCTTCTGGGGGGAGGAGAGACGCCACGGGGTCTTCCTATTATTTCGGAAGGATGTTAGCTTGGGTTTGTATAATTGGGACTTTGGTAGAAAGGGCCCAATACGCACCAGAGAAGACCGCCAAATAGTGCTTGGGTTGATTTGAACATCGTTGATTGTTGGTGTTGTCAGGGTGTAAGCCGGGGAGAAAATCGTGCTCGGAGTCGGGAGTGTAATTGGTCCGTGCGCTGGATGTATAGAAAATGCCATTTAGTTAGTTACTGATTGATACAATTGATACAGTTGATATAGGGAGACTGGAAAGTAGTTGTAACTTATATAGTGAGATTAATTGTTCGTCTTTAAATTATATCTTCTCATATTATTGAAAAATAAAAATAGTATTGCTGAACTCTGGTGATATACAACATACTGCGAATGGTTACCCCCAACCAAAATCATGTGATTCCGGGAATCTGTCGATTTCCAGGGACGCGATATTTTTCTAAAACTTCACTCGAGTCAATTACACTAGCTCTTCGGAGAACATACCCCTTTCCAAGCTACTATTAGCTTGTGTAAAGCTTCTTTTTGTTCATGGATTGTGTATAGCAGTTTTACACCATCCATCATGGACTCGAGCGCAACGGCGGAGTCCCCGTCCCTCCCTTGGAGGGCTTTATCCAACACAACAATGTGGGGAGTGGCGGGTCTATGTCGCGGGTTCCTTTCGGTTTTCTGTCATGCAGAATGTCATGGGAAAGAGGCATTCACAGAGCTGTTAGACTCTCGGCATAACGTTTCGCAACGGACACGAGGATTGATTACAGGTATGCCAGGACACAGCGAAGTTCATTAGACCAGTGCGGTTGCTAATTAATATATCTGAAAATAGTATCCAATCACATCAGTGTGTACGTGCCTCCAACAGCCTCGGATACGAGACAATCCATACTCCAAATGTGAAGATGGCTGACATTGCGTCGGAATACCAGAATGGATGACCCATTACTATGGGGGATTTTGCCGCCGCGATTTTGGAATAAGCGGTGGTCTTTCGGGAGCTACGATATTTGTTATCAGACAAGGTATTTACGAGTTTACCCAAATGCTTCTTCCATGGATTGTTTTGCTGACCGTAATCGCAGACCACTGTCACTCTTCTTCACTATGGGACAGGTCCTACCCACTCACCGTTCCGCACATTCTACATTCGGTGGTCTAGCTCAACCCGCTATGACCGAGGCCATTCGCTTATTATCGAAGGGTCCTTTCCCCGTTGACCACCACCGCGCCATACCTGAACGTCAACGCTGGAGCTGGCACAACGTCTGTGTCGATCCCTTCTCGGAACTCTCAGTCGCCTACACAACCGATGGCAAGGACTCGCACCTCGCACCTACCGCATACTCCTGTAACTCGAATTCCTGGGTCCATATTTTCCCCGAGGGCAAGATTCACCAGTCACCACGAAAGACCATGCGCTATTTCAAGTGGGGAATTGCACGGCTCATCCTAGAACCCAAAGAGTGTCCGGATGTGGTTCCAATGTGGATTGAAGGCTTCGACAATGTCATGCACGAGAGTCGCGAATTCCCGCGATTCCTTCCTCGGCCTGGCAAAGACGTTAGCGTTACCTTTGGCTCCAAGGTGGACTCAGATGCTGTATTTGGAGAAATGAGATCTCGGTGGCAGAAGTTGAAAGCGAAGGTCGAAAAGACCTATCCCGATTCCCGAGACCTGCCCCTGGGTGTGCTAAGTGATGAACTATTGAATGATAAAGAAGCTGTCGAGCTGCGCAAAGAGGTCACCTTGAAGATCAGGAACCTTGTCTTGGACGTTCGCCGATCGCGTGGTTTGCCCGATGAGGATCCAAAGGAAGGCTTGGTGGATACCTGGCTGGAGGAGGGTGCTAAGCGTGAGGGCCATATGAAGGACGATTCCTGGGTTCGGGATATCTGAGCCTATGTGCATAGATTGTATAACATTGTATAGATTTGGTTATGGCAACAATGAGCCACAAGCATTGACTCAGTTTTTGCCTAATTACGAGCAGCAGTGATTCATAGGTGCGGACCTCTTTCCGCCTGTCTTGTAAGCTCTAAATGTCAGCCTCTTGCGCTATACCCCATCAGGCAAAAGGATCAAATGTGGGGGCGATAATCGATAAGCGATAAAGGTGGGAAAGCATCCCGGAGACACTTCACTTCGTCAAACTCACAGCTCGATCGCAGATGCCCAAAAAGCACCAGCGGTTTCACGCAAAGCCAGCCAACTCAGCACATCACAGCCTTGCACCATCTGGGTCTCGTCATGATGGCAGGTCTGGCGTACACGGCTCTGCGTCAGCGACGTCAGTCAACGACTTAATCAGTCACCTTCGCCGTACACAGATCCATAGTGCTTCCTCGGATGATCCCCCAAGCTCGCAACGTGCCCATCGCTCGTTTGTGGCCCCACGCTCAGTTCATCCATCTCTTCGAGATGTTCTCGAGCTCCCTGCAACTGCGCCGCCGCGACCTCGCCCCGGTCCTCGTCGCACGGTATTCGGGGTTCGTCCAACTCGACCAACTGTCGGGCCTCCGCCGCCTGCGAGTTGGCTCTCGGGAAACACGGATCTATCAAGAGATCAAGGATTGCATAACCAGATACCGGAAGCCTTAGAAGAAGAAATCCACCGGCTGACCCGCCTCCAAGGGCCGCTGTTTCCGGACCAGAGGAGCCTGGTACATCTGACGCTGAAATCTATGGCTTTAAACTGGGGTTGGCATGTTGAATATGATGGCCCTTTTCTGTCCCAACTTCCAAATCATCTCAAGGAACTGCTGCTGAGTTATGTTGCCGTCTACGCAAGAGGCTTGTCTCTGAAGGGTTACATGAAAGGGCTGAAACCGCTCTTTTTGACCCGACAAGATCAGGATCAGATTGAAAAGGAGAACCCAGGTTTCAACGAGTCAGGAGTTGTTGATGCGGATTTCAAAATCGTGCGATTAGATCTGGGTAGTGCTCTGGGAAACTGGATAACTTTGAAGCAGCTCACAAACGAGATGATCCTATCGCCAACCCTAGCCATGGGTATACCAGGCAAGGAAATAGAGGAGGCTGTCCCAGCCTCGTGGGATGATGCCGTTCACAACGACAGAGGGGAAGCTACGCTTGACCATCTTCCAGCCCCGTCCATACCCAAAGCCATTACGCAGACCCTACGTTTCCCCGAACTCCGCGCCTTATCCCTAGCACACCCGAAACCCAGTGCTGCAAGCTGGACCGGTCTTCTCAATCTACTAGCACATCTGCCAACCCTCACTCATCTCTCGCTCGCCCATTGGCCTATCCCGTGTCGGAATACACGCGCTGCCACCGCTCGTATTCGCAGCTCAGTGGCCCGCTTCTTGACCCCAGATGCCCTTGGCAACAACTGGGCTGAAGCTGCGAGTATCCTCCGTCAGCTCTCCCGCTCGACCTACTGCCTGAAATGGTTGGACCTCGAGGGCTGCGGCGAATGGCTACCAGCCTTGAAATGGGTTGGTGAAGACCCAGATGGGTTTCCACAGAACCCTGATAATGTTGGCCCAGAGTGGAACGGATCTTGGAGAGATGTCGAATGGCTTGGGATCGGCCCTGGCTTTATGAGTTCGACGAAGTCTCACGATTCCTGTCATGTGCCGTCCCATGAAGTACCTGCCTTGCAAACAATCTCATCGGATTCTCCTGTCCATGAAACTCACCTTCAAAATGCACGTGATGTGATGAGACACATTCGGCAAATAAGAAAGGGGAGGAAATGGCTCGAAATCGAGCTTGGGTTACAGCTGGAAGACGTTGAACCTGAGACAATTAGATTGCCGGATGGGCAGGAATTGTCGGTTCATTTATGAGAGTCTGCCTATGTACATACACTATGAAACAGATAAAAACATCCTACGCATGTAATCAGAATCGCAAATTGAAACTATTTTATTCATGTCTGACTATACAATGGTATCCGGACAAAACGCCCGCAGATTTTAAACTATGCAAAACTATTTCTTGGAACGATTAAACGTCTTCAGGGGATCAACCTTCCCACCAGACTTGCCACGAGCACGGTTGCGATCTCTCGCCTTGCGGATGCGATTCTGCTTCGACTTTGTGAACCCAACGAACCCAACACTCTCCTTCGAGAGACCCTTACGGCCCTTAGTAGGCATCAGGTAATCAGGCACATGCTTTAGATGCGCCTGGACACGCGCAGCGCGCAGCTCGCCATCGTGGCGCAGCTGGCGTAATTCGTCGGGGTTTTCCTCGAAATGGCGCTTGAGCTTCTCGCTCTTGATCAGTTCCTGGCGGATCTCGCGTCCTCGTGCCTCTTGCACTGCGAGTCTGGTTACGGAGCGCAGGGCATCTGTCATACGGTACCGGAAGGCGTCGACCTGCGTCATCTCGAAGTGGTAGGGCTTGACTTCATGGCCGAGCTTGGTTTGCCGCTTGATGATCTTCGCGAGCAGGGTCTCGTCGTGCTTTGTGCTGGGGATTGAGGTGGGTCGGTGCTTGCCGTGCTGCTCGGCGGGGATAACGAAGGAGAGGGCCATTCCTGCTTTGCCAGCGCGGCCGGTACGTCCGATGCGGTGGGTGTAGGATTTTGAGCTGGTGGGGAGATCGAAGTTGAGGACGCAGGCGACGTTTTGGAAATCGATACCGCGGGCGATGCTGTAGTCCTTTTCTTTGCTGGTCATCTTGCGGCGCTTCTTGGTTTCCGGCTTCTTTCCCTTTCCACTCTCATCAACGGCCTCTTCATCCTCGCTGCTTCCCATCTCTTCCTTTGCTTCCTCTTCATCCGCGTCCTTGACTTCGCGCGACTTCTTCGATTTGGTCACTCCCAATACTGCTTGCTCGTCGGCTGCGACAATGATATCGTAGACGCCCTTATTGAATTCTTCGACAACGTGGATCCGCGAATTGATGGGAAGTTCTGAGTTGAGGACACAGCTCTTGAGACCGAACTGTTCGAGGAAAAGCTTGACACGGTAACATCGGTCGACGTCTGCTACGAAAATGATGACCTTGCCCTTAATCAGCTGCAGTTTGAAGATAACGTATGTGAGAAGGAATTTCTCTTCTTCCGCGCATCTGTTTGGGGTGAGTTAGCAACTGCTGAAATGACGGTTGTAGCATACTGTCTTACCGGACAACAAACTGGCTGACACCAGCGCCCTTCTCTTCCGTCTCCTCTAGCTTAAGAATCACGGGGTTCCGGCAGTACAAGTCCTTCAATGTATCCACCTCCGAAGTGAGAGTAGCACTCATCAAGAATGTCTGCGCTCCTCGGGGATGGCCTTGGAGAGAGCATTGATTTCCTCGTCATATCCGTATGACAAGACCAGATCCGCCTCGTCGATAACCAAATGGGTGATTTTATCAAGCGACAAAGCGGAGTTGTTAACATTGCTGTAAACTCGGGTAGGCGTCGAGACAACGATATCCGGGAAATCGGCCAGCATCGAGCGCTGAACTTCATCGGACACCTTCTGTGTTAGGTTGACTGAACGAATATCCTTTCCGCAGAAACTGGCGAAAGACGTAATCACTTTCTGGACCTGTTCTGCAAGCTCGCGAGTGGGGACAAGGATAAGAGCGGTTGTGGCTTTTGAGGAGGGATCGGCCTGTTTGTAGACAGTTAGGTTACTTTCTATATGAAGTACACATAGAGAGGGGGAACGAACAGTCTTCTGTTGGAGGATGGCTTGCAGGATTGGGAGGACATAGGCGGCGGTCTTGCCAGAGCCAGTTTTCGCACGGGCTATTTCTGTCAGTAATTGTCTTTTGATTCATCAATTCAAGAGGCTCGTCTCACCAAGAATATCCTTTCCTTCCAGGGCGAGCGGAATCGCCTTTGACTGTACAAGAGTGGGTTTGGTGAACTTTTCTTTGATCAGGGCCTGGCGCAATCGAGGATCGAGATTGAGGGCTTCAAAGTCGAGCTCTTGATCCTCAGCCCCAGCAGCCTTAGGCGAGGGGACATCATTTGCGTCCAACTTGCGTTTCATTGTGATTGTACTAGGCATTTGCTCGATCGAATCTGCGGAAGTTGAAACTTTTTTGGAAAGTTTTATCGGGCGGTGAGATTATTGCGGGCGGTAAATTCCAAGATTTTATGTTGACATAATCTTTGATGCCTCAGGCGGAAACTCCATGAACTATATCAAGTGGCTCGGGCCATTCACATCACCAGTGTCACAATAGACTTAGTATTATACGCACGGCGCGTATGGCATGCATCAAGTTGGTTTATCATTAAGCGCTCACTTGTGGAAGAGACGCTTTAGCAACTAGTGGACCCGGAGTATGATTCCAATGACATCCCAGATGAATGAGGGAATAAGTTCTTCGTGGATATACCTCGAATGATTTGCCTCCGGATTTACCATTGCGCGCAGGGTAACCAACCGATGAGTGAAGCGTAGGCGCTAATGCAAAGGGAGATTACGGAGTAACGATCATTGGAGATTTGCCAACTTGGGCACCAAAGAGGAACTGCGCCTTCGACCTCACCCCACTAGAACCCTGGCGTGACTCCGAAGACAAAGTTCCCCTATTTCCTTCTCTTTAAACTTATCTGGTTTATTAATGACATTGTTTCCTCCAGGCCTGTTCAATCTTGCTTACCAGCATTCGAATGTGTTGGTCTATATATAATCCCCTTTGCAAAATATGACCCGGAGGTACCCTGAAGCCCTTTAACAATGGCATCTTGGCCAGGAGTTATACGGGATCGTTTATCCCGGGTGAGTGAAACCATATGAATACGTCATATGGATATGTACGATACTCGAGGCTCATCACGGTTTCACTATGTAGCCGGCGTCCATGGCAGACTGCTATACCACCACTAGAAGTGAAGTCTGCCTTCCCAACATTTCATTTACCACCACTCCATGGCTGGAAGAGTTGCGAGGTGGTGCGCGAGTATGGAGTTCCACAGCATCAGAAATCCCGAAACAATCATCGCCCCTTCCTTCAGGTGCTTCTGCTCCAAGAACGGCATCAACAGCGCCAATATTCGAATTCTCCGAACTAGACCTGGTAGATAAGGACTATGAAACCACCGAAAACGAGCCCTGGTCACCACAAAATCTCCGAAAATGGGATGAATATGATCCTTCGACCGAGTCATCCTTGCCGTCCTTCCAGTTTCAGTACCCCCGGGAAATAGATGAACCAACCAACTGGTACAATATGCCCGCACCGCCCCCTGAATCAGCCCATGACACCAGTGCCAAGGTGGGGGAGCTTATAGTGCAAGTACTAAACGCACATGAAGATGTGTTAGCCAAGCGTTATCAGATCCGGGAAATGCGGCATATGCTTCGACGAAAACGAGACGAGGAAGATGATGTGCGGCTTGTATTACAGAGCAAGTTGAATCTCATAACTGCCGAAAATGTGCATGAGGATGTTGCTGCTATCAATCACACTATCAATGACCTCCACGTTGCGACAGCGTCTTATTTCGTCCTTGAAAATGAATACCATAGACAGGAAGACGAACTGGGGCAGTTGGAGCACCATTACAACAGCCACTTAGAACGATTGCAAACCATCTTCAGGTACCAAAGGGGCCTGTTGGCACAGCTCGAACCCATTACCTCTGACACCGAATCTTCCTCGGCAGAGTACTCCTCTGACGATGGGGAAGACACGTTGCCCCAAGCGGCTGATTACTTTTCCATGGTTGATGAGGCACGCATACTTATGGAACGGCTGTCGGAGCTAGAGACAGAATACCTGTTCCTAGTCGACCAACGCGAGCTCCGCGAACGAGTCGGCATCCCACTCGACAGAGCGGCCCTCAACTTCCTCCTGAGCTACCAAGATGAAAGGACCAAGATTGAGACCGAACTAGAATTAGCCCGCCATAAAGTCGAGTCGCACCCGGAACATACCAATCGCTCCGTGCAGATTACAGAAGAGGAAGACAACAATGATGAGGAAGAGGAGGAGGAAGAGGAGGTAATGCAGCATTTCATGCCCGATAAACCAGAGGACCAGACGTACAATGATCCGCTACACTCCTCGGAATTCGAGGATTCATCGCCTTTCTTTGCATCCGCGCACTCGCAGGCTGTCAACAAGGGATCTTTCGTCAATCGCTGGCTTCTTCATCGACTGCGGCACTCAAGGGTTGAGATTATGCGGTTCAAGTCTACACCTGAACTGGTAGATCTGGGTAGCAAGGGCTGGGGGTCAGATAATATTAGCCAGATGGCGATGATGCTTTGGTTTCAAGAGGGCGCGGCGAGCGTGGAGCATATTAGGAGTCAATCAGCTAGGTAACTAGTGCATATAACCTAGTAGCATTAAGCATTTGTAGGCAGTGTCATTGATTTTTTCTCTTTTTCTTTTTTGTAAAAAGAATTAAACCAGAACCAGATCAGGACCTAATCTACTCCCTGAACACACGAAAGAACTTCACCATAACCCAGCTAATCAAGTCCTCACTCCAACCCGAAAACAAATCTTTCGAGCTCCACATAAGCCTCCTCCAAATCATCATTTACAACGATTCTATCAAAAACACTTGGAGTCTCAGCAAACACAAGCTCCCTTCTCGCGCACTCCAACCTAGCCTGAATCTTCTCCTCACTCTCCGTCCCTCGACCCCTAAGCCTCTGCTCAAGGACACCAAGATCCCGCGGTTTAATAAAGACATAGCGAGCGTCAAACTCAGGGTTAATTTACACCTGTTGCACGCCATTCATCTCGATATCAAGAATAGGGATGAGTTGTCTGTCGAATATTTCTTCGAGTGCTGCTTTACTCGTTCCGTAGAAGTCATTGGTATACATTGCATCTTCTAGCAGACCTCCGCTGGTCTTGAGAGACTTGTATGTCTCGACGGAAACAAAGTGGTAGGATATACCGTCTGTTTCACCCGGGCGTGGTTGTCGGGTTGTGTGGGAAACTGTTAGTTCGAATGTGTTCGGGTATGCGTCCATGAGCTTTTGGATAAGAGTTCCTTTTACCTGCGCCTGAAGGGCCGGAGATGACAAGGGGCCGTCGATCTTGAGGTGCTGCTGCGTGGGTTAACATGGATGGTGGTGCGAAGTTAGAAGGGTGATGACGTACATAAAGTCATGTTGCCAGCAGCGATGGGGGTTTCTTGTGTCGAGGATGGATATCGGGAATTTGGGATGAGTAGTAGTTGACTATAAAGAACAATGCACAGGTGCTGTGTTTTGAGGGAAGTCGGACAACCTTACCGCTTCACCGGCGCAACATGCCCACCCACAGTGTGAGCCGAGACTAATTCATGTCTACACATGCCGAGGTAGTTCAACTAAAGATACCTAAATTCGTGTACTTTGTTGCATCGGAATGTTATCCTTTCACATCGTGATTCTGTTCATTATGTACATAACCCAAACAATTTCCCATATCCAAATCCATCGGCATTTGCCGTAAAGAAAACAAAGACGCTATTCCCATAACCCAAAGAATTGTTGAATGTTCAAAATCAAATCTCATACATCATGGGAGCCCAATCCGCAGTCGTAAATCAAGAGTACTGTGTCTCGCCCTCACTATCACTCAGACTATCGCGACGACGACTTCGTCCATCACGGCGGTATCCCTTCGTCAAACCCGGGATCGGATGCTTGTAGCTCTTGGTACCAGAATCCTCAGTGTCAACGTTAGAGTACTGGTACTCAGAACGGGAGCCCGCAGATGAGAAGTCCAGGGGTTCAGTGAAGTGGCCCTGGGGCGCGGAGCGGCGCTCACGTTGCTTGCGGGGGCTGCTAGTACGAGATGAAGGCGCAGAAGGAGGGGCAGATGGGGCAACCTCGCTGCGACGTTCACGACGGCGGTTGTGGCGGCGGGTAGATGGGTCGCGGACACGACGTTCTTCGGCTGCTTGGCTGATGACATCCTCGCTGCCTTGTGTGAACGAGAAACCGGAAGGATCGCGGCGCTGACGGCGTGGCTGTTCGTATGCAAAATCATGAGTTTGGCTCATCTCGCTCTGTTGGTAGGAGGTAGGCGGGGCAGAGGTATCGTAGTCACTGCCGTTGTAGGTTCCATCGGCTTCACGGTTCATGCCGCCAATGCGAGCAGGCTTCTCTTCTCGGTAGGCGCGTACGTCGGCATCGTCGGCACCTTCCCATTGCTCGTGCTTGTTGCGTCGGAGCAGCTTCTCTTTGGCGGTTTCTCTGAACTTCTTGCGTCGTGACTTCTCCTCTGTAACGGTCGTCGCGGTGTCGGTATATGTTCCTTCTGTAAACGAGTATCCGTCGTCCGTGTAGCCCTTGCCAACAACACTTCCGCCGCCGAGCTTGGTACTCGCTGTGGCGTTACTGAGAGTCTTTCCGTCGGGTCCCTTTCGTCGCAGAACAGTGGACTTGTAGTCATCCCAGTCGCCCTTGCGCCAGATGAATCCGCCGTTCTTGGCCCAGAAGAAGAACCAAATCCCTCCTATGACAAACAACAGTCCAATGATGGCAAACAGTGCCATCAGGCCTTGCATTTTGATGCTGTGCGGGTCGACTGTGCCTTGCCCATATCTTGGCGTGCTGGATTCTTCTGTTGAGTCGGCACGTGAAAAGAGGTTGTGGGTATTAGGGTCGATGGCAGATAATTTATCAGCGATGTTCTCATTGCTGTCATCCCGAACATAGAGTCCGCCAACGGTGGCTGCTGGAATGTCGGGGGAGTCCCCGATCGGCCAAACTGGAGGCATGATGGAATATTAGAGTGGCCAAGAGCACCCGGCTCAAGACTGGACTCACTATCAGGTCATTAGTATGTAGAGCATTGTTGGGATCGAGAGGAGGCATATGAACGTACATTGAAGCAAGTGACCAACACCAGATGTAGATAGAGTTAGATCTCCGACACGCTGGAATGTGGGTATAAAATGAGAGTGTGGAATGTGGGCAAAAGCGAAGCACAGTGTCTGGATGGGTATCAGTATGAGGTTTAAGATAAGAAAATGGGAAAATAACCAACCCAGATATGATTCTGTTTGACGTCCGACACAAAATTGAGGAGGTTGGAGGAGAGGCTGGGGACTTGTGTTTACATGGTGGTTGTCAGGGACAACCCGCTTACATCATCCCCCACACGGGCATCCACCCGTGGACAGGTCGGTGGGTAGAGTTGGGTCACCCGTGGGGTCGATCTATAAAAAGAGTCGATCACAATTGACTTCTATGTTGTACTTAGATCTGAAACATGGCATTTTAACATGGGTTTAATTATAGATCAATTATATCAAGTCGACAAATGCCACCCGCTGGAAGCCTCTGAGAGAGGCATACAGGGTCGAAAGCTGTGATCGCACCCAGACAGCTTGCGGGGTATCAAAACCAACTAAACAGTAAAAGCAGGAAAAAGGATCAAGACCAATGGACGATAAAACAGACAAGGAGATCAAGCGAAACTGCAAAAATCAACCGAATCGATAAAAAAAAGCCCAAAAAAAAAAGTAAAACTACGAGGTCCCGAGAGGAACCAAAAATACCAACAAGACAACATAAAATCATAGATATGGCCAAAGAAAAAGATGACCTGTTGAGACATGACAAGTAAACAGATATGGGTATAATCTCTCTCCGCCACTCGGAGTCGCGAACAAAGTAACCGGGGAGAAAGACACAGACCCAACAAGAAAGGCTATACACAGAACGCTGACAAAAAGAAGACATCAGAAAGTAAAGCACATCAGACTTGTCATTGCAGGTCATCAGAATCGTACAATCATATCGCCATAACAAACACATCATCATGGGGTTCGTGCCCGACCATTTTACCCAAGCACACAAACATAAAAAGAAAATCGAGACAGCAGTTGCAAATGAAAAAAAAAAAAACACACAAAAATTCCTCCCATTTTAGCGAGACTGTTGGGCAACAGGGAACTCTAGACTTCATGACAAAGTCCAGCCTGTTCCCCAAGTCGCCCAACATAGTCTCGCTTTAGGTAATCGCCATTGTTTTTTTGTTGCACAAAAGCACCCGGTCCCGAAGAGAGAGAGAAAAAGAAAAAGAAAAAGAAAAACGCAACATATGCAAAGCAATCGAAACTTTTGGCAAACGAATAAGGGCAGCCACAAACGGCTATGCAGACACAAGATGGAATCACAACAAAAATATACCTAACCATGAAAAAACAGAAACACACCAAAAAAAATGGACAACATCTAACAGGGTGGATAACAAGTTCAGTGGTAGCGAGTTGCCCCGTAGGCTGACTGGCTGTCTCGACGACTAGATCGTTCAGACCGCCCACCATCCCGGGGACGCCGCACCACATCCTCAAGTTCCCGACGGCTGGAGCCGCCTGCGTAATCAGAGCTGGTACCGTTCACATGCTGCTTGGGTGGCCGTGGACCGCCGATGTTCAACCGAACGGCCCCGGTGTCCCCAGCACGAATGTTAATAGATTTTCCTGCAACTGCTTCAGATGTAAATCCAATTTGGAATCCGTTCAACGTGAGGGTCATGTTCTTGTCTTCCTCCTTCCGTGAGGGTGTGGCACTGCCGCGGCTCGACCGACTATTCTGGCTGCCGCTCTCGCTCCCGTTCCCGTTGCGGTGAGACGCTTTGGCAGGGAGCAAGGCCTCCGTGGAGAGAGGCAGTGCAGCCGTTGAGGTTCGGCCGGATCGGGCTGCCTGGTAGTTCTCAGCTTCGCGCTCGCGGTCTTCGAGGTCGCCACCGGCGCTGGATGGTTCCTCGTAGTAGTACTCGGTAGGCTTCCGCCGCCGAGAGCTCGCCACGGCCACCTGAGCAGTCCGTCGATCATCCTGGTAGGATGTTGATCGTCGGTGATCTCGTAGGCTATGGGTTCTCTCTGGCAACGGGGCGTCCCTTGACATTCGACGATGGGAGCGATCCTGAATCACCGGTAAGGCAGATGAAAGTTCCGGCATGTCCATGCGGTCTAGATCTCGGTCCATGTCTCTACCTCCTCTGTCCATGCCTCTATCTCCTCTGTCCAAGGCTCTGGATGGGCGACGTTGAGAGGGGACAATACCAGCAGAGGGATGCATTTTCCGTGATGGCTCTGGCCGCTCTGGTCGCTTAGCCTGGTGGATCTGCGGCCTGGGCTTGGGCTTTGCTACTGGGGGTGGCATCCGATAGTAGTCTTCATCCTGTTCCTGGTGTCTTGGAGGACGTTCACGGACTTCACGGATTTCCCGGGAGGAATAGTGTTCCATGGGTGGCTCATCATCATACCATGGTGCATACGACCCAGAGTCCATGGGTGGGGGGTTTGGGGCAGTATAGATAGATGAGGACCGACGGCGTGATGGCTCCCGGGACCGGGACCGCTCTCGTGGATACTCCGATGGGGGATAGTCCGAGGCTGATGGGGCGTAGTAGGAGTTTTGTCCGTATGGAGATGACGAGTATTGGTGCATGTATGCTGAGCTGGCTGGTGGAGGGCCATGATCATATCCGTGCTGGGGGTACATTTGAGACGGCATCCCTGAACTCATTCCATGTGGCATACCGTGGAAACTCATGGGTCGTCCGTTTGGGTGGTAGGTGTGATATGAACTGGAGCGACTAGGTCGGCCAGGGTGACTGACGTGAATGTTCTCTATAACGCCGCCTGGATATCGAGCGTTGTGTGGGGAGGATGAGTATTCCGGGACTGGTGGACGTGGTTGGTAGTAGGAATATTCGCTCTGTCGATGATCAACCGGGGTTGATTGATGGTATTGAGTACCGTAATCGTAGTAACTGTCGTGATATTGGCGGGCATGGGAGGATTCTCGACGGGACTTGGACGACGACCGGGGCACGTGAGCATGATGGGCAGCGCCCGGATAGGCACCAACCATCTTCTCTTCGCGCGAGGGTCGTGTTCGTTCTTTGTCCTTGCGTTCTCTGGTTGAACTTTTCCTTGCGAGGTCGTGACGCTTGGGGGCGTCCAGCTTATGAGGGATCGGAGGACTTTTTCCGCCCGACGGCCCAGATTGGGTGCTATTAACCGTAGCGGCGGTGCGACTAGAATAGCCTGAGTCACTGGCGGCGTCGATCAGCGGCTCCTGGAATCTTTCCAACCTAGAGGATATTTTGGCAGCTGTATTGGCAGCAATATTGGCAGAAAGCCTAGTGTCGGGTAGGCTGGCGTTTTGTTCTTCGTCGTAATCTTCGACGCAGGCAGGCCGGGGGCCCTTACTGGCCATTATGTGGGCTGCAAGGCAATCGGGTGTCTGAATAAAAAAAAATTAAAAAAACTGGGTTGGTCCCGTTTCCGACAAGGGCGACGTGGGTGGCTCCCACAGGGCTCCAGAGATGTTCGACTTACAGCAAGCCACTGCTCCCCTTTCACGATGAGTCAGAATGGATATTATTCTTCCCCCTCAACCCCGTAGATCTGACAAAATGGGCTTCCTTTTTTTTCTTTCTCTTCTCCCCAGTGCCCAACCCAAGCGGGCCACTCAAACAAGTAAGCGGACCTGCCGATCGCAGTGGGCGATGGCAGGCGACGGGCGACGGGTTCTGTCAAGCGGAGGGAGCGATATGGTACTTTTCAGATCGCAATGTCTCCATCGAAGTGGGATGTTAGGCTAAGAGTCGGGCGGAAGCGTTGGGTCAAAGAAAGAGAGAAGAAAATAGAAAATGACCTCTCTGGCAGACGATGAGTGGTGGAGCGTACTGCAGCTGCAGAGGTTGGGTTGAGAATTTAGGATCCTCTGCCTGACGGTCTTAGAACCCAGTGGGGGGTGGGGAGTGGAGTCGATGGGCAGCGATAAAAAAAAAAATAAACGAAGTGAGGGGTGATTTTGATTGATATATATCTAGAGGGAAGAGAGAGAGAGAGAGACAGAGAGAGAGATTTAGAAAGGAAAAAAGGAGAGGAGTATATGTTGTAGAATAAAAGGAAAGAGAAAAGAGAAAGGAAGAGTAAACACCCGAAGGAAGAGGGCACAGGGTTAAAAAAAAAAAAAAAATTCAAAAAAAAAGGAAACGAAAAATCAAAAAGTTTCACGAAGAGGCTCTCGGTACCCAACACAAAAGAGAAAAAAAAAAAGAAGAGAAGAAAGTGGGGGGACAGCGTCATCAGTGGTTTTATCTACTTAGGTATGTTGTATTTATCTATTTAGTTTGATATATACCTACCTAGGTATATAATTGTACTTCGTGCTCCGTGTTGTATAGTATTCAGTGCAATATAGTTCATTTGACTACAACATTCCAGTATTGTATGTATTCTAATTACTACCTAGGTACCTGGTTATGTATGTAAGTATGTATGTTGTAAGTTGTATATTTTATTTACTTTAAGCTCGGGACCCGCTGGAGGGGAAATCCTTGGTTTAACTCCCAGGTATCCATGGTTGGCCTTGACTTTTTTACTCTTATCTTTATTTACTTTATTTACTTTTTTTTTTTATATTATTTATTTACTTCCTTCCCTTATTATTCCCTTATTATTCCCCTTTCTTTCCTTTTCTTTCCCGTGTTAGAATGAATTTTGCTAAATACGGAGATGTTGCATTCCTATTTCTCCCTAAACTGCATCCCACCCACAACGCCCAACCGCTTTTGCGGCCCAATGATCGCCTCCGCCGTAAAGGGTCTTCCCTGTCAATTAAAAAGGGACAGGTTCCTCTGGCCAAAAAAAAATAGAAAATCGGTTATCACTCGGTTGCCGAGCAATCTGGTTTATCCTTCTCTCCGATCGTTTGATCATTCCTTTTTTTATTTTCGTGGTCAATGCAGGGC